AATATGAGGAACTGAGTGGGCAGCGCGTCAATTTGGCTAAGTCGGCGGTTTGTTTCAGTAAGAATATTGCTCTGCCAGATCAGGAGTTCTTAGCTACAATTCTGGGAGTTGGAGCTGTTGGGGTGCAGGATAAATATTTGGGGCTCCCCACTTTGATTTCTCGTTCTAAAATGGAGACCTTTCGTTATTTGGAGGAAAAACTGTTATAGAGGCTACAGGGGTGGAAACGACGGACTTTGTCTTGGGCTGCGAAGGAGACACTGATTAAATCCATTGCCTTGGCTCTACCGCTGCATGTCATGTCCTGCTTCAAGATGCCACTCTCGTTGTGTCGCCTTTTGGACAAACATGTTGCTCGTTTTTGGTGGGGTGATGAGGAGGGACACTCGAGAATCAGGTGGATGGCATGGCGGGATATGTGTAGGAGTAAACACGAGGAGGGAATGGGCTTCCGCCTGTTTGAGCATTTCAATCAAGCCCTTTTAGCCAAAATTGGTTGGCGTATCATAGTGGAGCCTCAATCCCCTTTAGCACATGTCTATAAGGGCAAGTACTTCCCCTCTGGGCACTTCCTCAATGCTAAGGCCAGGTCGCGCCCATCCTGGGGCTGGCAAAGCATTCTGTATGGTCGTGATTTATTGGAGATGGGGCTCAGGTGGCAAGTTGGGAATGGGCACTCGGCGTCCCTGCTTCAGTCCCCCTAGATCCCTCAGCTGCAGCTTGATCCTCCGAGGTATAATCCGGTGGTTCTACCAGAGGGGGGTGATCCTTCTGTGGCTGAGGTAATTTATCAAGGGGAAGGGCACTGGTGTGATCTTAAACTCAGCCAATGGTTTGATCCACCTACTTGCCGTATTATAAAAACTATTCCTCTTCCCCGGCAGAACCTCGAGGATAAACTAATATGGCATTGTACTTCTGATGGGGTGTTCTCGGTTAAGTCGGCCTATCATCTGGCTGTCTCCCTTGATAGGAGGAGAGGGCGGTGGAAGGCGTCGTCTAGTTGGATGGATAGAGCCAGTTGGATCCGGTTGTGGGAGGCGAATATTCTCCCTAAGCTGAAAGTCTTCGTTTGGCAAATTCTAAATCAGATTCTTCCCACTACGGAGGCCCTAATTGCTCGGAAGGTCCCTGTCCTCCCTCGTTGTCCAGTCTGTTGGGGTGGCCCAGAAACCATGGAGCATCTGTTCCTGGATTGTCCGGTTGCGCGTGCGCTTTGGGGTCACTCGGGGCTAGAGTACTTAGGGGAGGGGCTGCCTCGCCATACTTTTCCTCTGTTTCTTAAGCGTTTAATGGCCTTAATACAGCAGCTGACGCTCCTCATGGCCGTGGTCTCGGTCCTTTGGCGCATCTGGCGGTCTAGAAATTGGGTGGTGTTTGAAGGAAAGCAATTTGGGTTCCCCGCGTTGATGAGGCAGTTTTCCCAGCAGTATGAGGAATGGGTGGGATTGCCGGCAGATGCGCCCCCCATGCCTTCTTCCCCGAGGGTTCCACGGTCAGGTGGGTCGGGACAGGCTGCAGGGTTTACTTGCCAGTGGGACGGGGCTACCAGGAAGGGATCACATTCAGCAGGTGGCATGGTGCTTCTGTCTCCCTCTGGGGATGTTCTTATGGCTAACGGGATTCAGTACCAGGGGATTGATGATCCAGTGGTGGTGGAGTTGCTTGTGCTCCGGTAGGCAATTACCTGGTGTTTGGGTCAGGGTTTTACAGGGATGAGATTCGAAGGGGATGCCAAGATCGTCATTGATAAAATCAACTGCAAGGATGCTAGGGATAACCGGATGGGCGCCATTTTGGAGGAGGTTTTACATTATTTTGGTAACAACCCGGGGTTTAGTGTGCGGTTTGTAGGTCGGAGTAGTAATAGGGTAGCCCATTTAGTGGCTAGGAAAGCCCTCTCTTTGTACCCGACTATGAGTCATTTCTTTGATTTTCAGACCTGGCTTGGTTCCAGGGTGTAACTATCTATGTTTTGGTATCAATATATGATTATCTTTTGTCAAAAAAAAAAAAGGATGGCTGGACTTCTATGTTTTCAGAATCAGATATAATTGGATGGAAAAATATTCGTAATAGTAGATATCCGCTCAAATTCGGTTTAATTAGGTAGGGGAAATCCGAACTCGAAGGCCATTTAGTGGATTACCCGAACTCGAATATTGCGGGTAATGGGTGGGCATGAGTTTGAATCCGCCCGATTATACACATGCATATGTATTTTATTTAGAAATAATCATTATTTTTCTCTAACATATTTTGTATTTAGCATATAAATATAATATTCATGAAGTTGTGTTATTTTAATTGATTTTCTTCATTCTAGTGAATTACTGTCGTACTTTTCCTCTTACGTAATATGAGAATACGTGTGAATGTTAACATATCGGTTGGAGTTATGAAGAGAAATTATTACTCATGGATAATCGTTGATACCCGAAACCCGAACGAATATGGGTATGGTTTTGATTTTCTACCCGTTTCACATGTGGGTATGAGTATGGGTAAAACCCGAACTACTTTAGTAGGGTAACGGATATGCACTATTCGCCCCCGACCCGACCCATTGCCATCCCTAAAAAAAATAGTTAGCGGTTCATGATTTAATTGTTGGACTTTTATGTTGTTGGTTAATCTTAATAGAAGATATAATCATAATAACTAATTTAGGACTCTATTCGTCACTGATCTAAAATAATTTCAAATCCATATGATCCATCACTAAAAGTTCTGATAGATCAGTCAAATTGTCTCACAAAAGAAATCAGGTAAATTTTTTCTATCAAAATTCAAATTAGAAATTAGAGTTTCATTCGGTAGTGGATTACGTAATTTCAGTAAGGATGTTAGGAAAAGAAGAAGAGAACGTATAAATAAAATCAGTAACTAGGGTTATATGATCTCAAGTTCACGTTATAATATTTTTTGTCTTTTAAAAACTTATTATGGTTAGAAGAGGGAACCACTGAACCAGACAAATTGAGATAATTTATTGAGTTATATGTATATTATGCTCATTTACTTTGTATTTTTCTCAAACATAACCCTCTCCTATGAATAACATCAAATATGCATTTCTACTATTACACTCTTCTCACACGTATCCTTCCGTCTATTTGCCCATCCCGTAGCCATTTGATCCGGACAAACTAACTTTTGGTCAATATGACGTCATGAAAATTGCATGTTAATAGACAATTTTGCCCCCTTCTGTTCTAACCTTGTCCCCTACTAAACCGCTCCCCAGTTGTCTACCACTTGGTGACTCCGGCGTTCGATTGTCGCTGGTAAGACCACTTTGTTGTCAACTAACCGAGTGTATCTTCTGTAACTAAGCCGGTCACCATTTCCTCCTCTCCAACGACCCCAATCGAATCTGACCATTGTTTCCCCTTAATATATTCATAGGGTTAGGGATAATATTACAGTAGAAAAGTATAGCTTACAAGAAGACAATTTTCAATTCAATTTGTCTTATTGCAGAGGTGATTAGGTGAACCCTTAAAGGAAGATTTTTTATGGGTGGACTCTCTTCCCTTCTAATTTTTTCGAACCAAGGATTGGGAATGTCCACAATGTTCTTCGCAACGGCAACCGGGGAAACGAATGCTCGAGCGTTGACAGCTTCATTCAAACTGAGGGTTGGAGAGGGGCGACTAGTGTATGAGATTGTTGGAGGAATCTGCAATTCTGGAGGGGCGATTGAGGATCCACGACGGTGATGTGGAGGTGGCGGAGTCAAGGGAAACGAAGATTCGGAATCGATTGTGGTCATCAGATGGGAGGGAATCGCCGACTAGTGGTGGTGCCTGAGTCAATCGGGAAGGATCGAGTGAAGATTTTGGGGAAGAAGGGGACAAAATAGTCTTTTACTTTTCTATTTTCCATCACATCAGGCTGACCAAGACTCGGTTGGTTGGGTTTTGACGGACTACGGATGGGAAAATAGACGGAGGGGTAAGTGTGAGACGAGTGCAATAGTAGAAGGGCATATTTGATTTGATTCATAGTAGAGGGTTATGTTTGAGAAAAATACAAAATAGAGGGGTATAATATACATATAACCCTAATTTATTTGATTTCATGTTCAACCGTTAAAAATCTTTCGATTCACCCCTTAACGCTCACTCAAATGAATCTAACAGTGGTTCTACGGCTCCGTTCGGTCTGATTCTTATAACAATGCTTGACATTGTGTATGCACTGTGGCTTTCGTGCATGCTTGGAAGTCGTTGCTCATTCCGTGTCCCCTTCCTTGGGAAGTCCTAATTACCTCACAAATGTTATCTCTGCCAATTTGGTCAACCGCACTATGCATTCGTCTTTTGTATTTGCTCCTCAAAGCTTTACATCATTTGCTTTCGTGCAAAGCCGTAAACTGAAAGGTGTCGTGTCGACATTTCCTAGATTGAAATTTTTTTTCCTACTTAATAACTTTACACTAACAATACCTCGATAACCATTTTATATTCATATTGATATTTACTTATATAAATTTGTGTTTCTTCCACGTTAGTATTACAAGACCGGATAGTAACACCATGTTAAGCATCAAATGAAAATTGAAACAACTAAACAATGATTCAAAAACAGTGAAGCAAACGAATCATCACATATCATAGCTTGACCCAAGACACATTAGTATGAGAAAGTAGTATGATTAAACATAATGCCAATTTATTTAATTGATCAATTAAAGTTGGATGATGCAACTACTATCACTCATTAGTTTTTCACAAAAAAAAAAAAAAAACCCCTTCCGAAGAACTGATAATCTGGCAAGTGGAAGTGGGCCTGGCACTCAAACAACGTGCGACGGGACCAGGATCCCGATTCCGATCCCCGGTGGGCCATTTCGCAGTCCAGAGTCTGCTGCCGTTGTCACCAACTCACCATCGCCGCAGTCGCAAGCTCCAAAAGTTTCCCCACCGCGCAACTCAACTTTACTTGCTTACTCGGCACTCGTCAAATTCCACTCCTCAGTCGTCCCCTCCCTAGTCCCTTCCCTTCTCCTTAAACTACTCTTCGCCTTTCCACCCAACAAATATCCTTTCATTCCCAGAAAGATCCATTCGTCCATTTCTCTCAGTACTTTCATCGAACACTAAACGAGCATATACCTGACTCTGGCAGAGTCCCTTCATCTCTACTGCAAAATGCTCCTCGCTCAGCTGCAGTGCCACCAGCCGCCATGGATACACTCTCTTCATCCCGGCCAATTGAAGAATCGTTCTTCTTCTTCTTCCCCCGATTCTCGTTCCCGCTCGTTTGTCAAGAGGTGGCTCTTCCTCATCCTCTTTTCACCAATGCCATTCTGCGTTGACGAGTTTGAATTGGTGATTCATAATTCATTAATGATTCAGCTTCTGTCGTATTGCAATCTGTTTCTTGGATGGCAATTTTTCGATGCTTGGTTTGGTAGCATCGTTAGTAAAGAACTGCGCCGCCAGGTCAACTTAGCGTCGAATTGTTGTGATGTGAAACAGGGACTTGATGAACAAGAAACCGGCGCCGAAGCAGTTCCTGTGGATCCGAACCTCAGCTTTTGGTCCGAATTGTCGCAGGATATGCAGCAGCGGTGGTGAGTGAGACCGAGACTCTTGGAACCATTCACAACTCCTCTGTAAAACTTGAAGGAATTGGTGAAGTGAATTTAGATTTCCATGGATGCCCTGCCACCTTGGGTGGTTATCCGGGCATGGTCTTTGTAGGACTTAGAAGTGAGAGCTGGTATTCTGGAATCAAAATCGTGCTGCTTCTCACTTCATTTCCAGTTGCTCTATGACGAGTGCAGTCAGTCATCTTGCGAGTATCGTGCGGTGCTGTAATTTACTGTTTTTTCAGTATTACTTCCTGTTGTCAGGTGTTTCTATATAACATCTCCGTTAGTCTATTTACATTCCGTGGAGTATACACCTTTAAACATCAGTCACGTAGGTTTATGGAGTCAGGTTGTTCATTGAAGATCGCTGTTTCATTGATTCATCAATTGCCAGTTGTTTTCTATTTGGTCTATTATCTTAAGCGGCAAGCCACATCTCTTGAGCTCTTTAGTTGGTGTCTTGAGAACATGCATCAGCTGAACATTAATTCCATTTTTGTAGGGAACCAGGAACCCAGCGTGCAAAGGACAGGGGACAAGTGGGACTCCGTGGTAGATACTTCTGTGTCAGGTGTCTCAAGTACATGGGTTCTTAAGATGAAGCAAATTGGCCTTCCACAGGTAACCCTGGAGGCTGGAAGAAACCTGACTGTAAAATATGAACATAAAGATGACTGGGCAAAAGTTTGCTTGATGCTTGACCTTCTAGCCAGTGGCATATGTTATAACATGATATCTTCTTTTATTTTCCTGATCTGTAGTTTATCTACTGAGGTTATGTGCAGGACTTCTTGAAGAAGCTCCTGGTTGGGTCTGCTTCATTATGTTTCATGTTAAACCTCAGTCAGTTGAAATTATTCAGTCCGCTAACAAAGATGATCCACAACTCGGTTCCTCCTTTCCTTTGGAAACTTGGAGGAGCAAGCTTACCTTTTGCTTGCATGTCTAATTCCTTGAACAAACCGACGCCTTTGGGGTTGGATGTGTCATTGCCATCATTTCAAGATGTTAAGTGGAGTTTATCGCGCTTAATATATTTGTTCAACATCAAGCTGGAAAGAAACATAGCAACGTAAGTAGAAAAGTGATCTGCGAAGATTTTATCAAGAAATCCTGGTTCATTGTATATGTGCAAAGTTCAATAAAGTTCCCTTCTTTACTCCTCTCAGGAAAAGACCAAATCCTTCTTTGCCAGCAAATTGTCCTCCCTCTTCCTTGAGGGAAGTTTTCATCTTCAATTCATTCATGACTTTCATTCTCTTGTAGGTTCCTAGTATCTTTGCTTGCTGCTTGTTTCTCGTTCGTCATTATTGGGGGCCTACTGTTCTACAGGTTCAGGTATGTTTTCAACCCTTCCTCTCAGGAACACCAATGTCAATACAATTTTATTCTTCTTTGTCGCCCATAATAAAATCTATTATTGTCTGCTTAATGTATTCTATGCACTTTCTGAGTTTCTGTGATGTATACTTATCAGCTAAAACTGCTTTTTTACATATGACAGGGATATGCCCTTTTTATCTGACAGTGGTAATCTTGTTCTTAGTTCTTATTTGCATTGGTCACATCCTTTTGGGGAAAGACAAATTTGAAAGACAAACCTTTGATGTCCAAGGAAACAAGAATCACCATCTATCCATTTTCTTCTGCTCATATCCTCGATTCTCCATGTTCACTAATCCAGGGGTAACAAGCAGTCTCTGGAAGACTGCTTCTGGGAAGCTTGGGCCTGTCTTTGTTCATCATCCACTCATTTAAGGGTGAGATGACTTCTGATGAATTCCTTTTTTTCTTTCGGATTTCAGATTCTGTAATGGGTTCCATCTTTTTCTGTAGCAAAAGACACGTGTTGAACGTGTCATCGGCTTTGTGCTTGCAGTATGGGGGATATTGTTCTACTCTAGGTTGTTGAGCACAATGACAGAAGAATTCAGAGTAAACTCTTGAAACTACTTGCTAAATCTTGCCTAGATGGAAGTATTATCCCGAAGACTAAAACTTGAACAGAATAACATGCAAAGACTCAGGGAAGGAGCACAAGTTCAAGTCTTGGAAGAGGATCATATCATTATCTGTGGGATTAATAACCACCTCGCTTTTATACTAAAACAGCTAAACAAGTATCATGAATTTGCTGTCCGCTTAGGTACTGCCACTGCAAGGTAATTGGTTTTATCTTACTGGCAGGAGAACCCTCAACCTATTGCAGGTTGACATCCCTTTGGAATCTTCTCCTTATCTGCGTTTGCAAATATATTGCAGGAGGCAGAGGATTCTTCTTATGTCTGATGCTCCAAGGAAGCAAATGGACCGGCTAGCTGACAGTATTGCAAAAGATCTTAATCATATTGATATCCTCACTAAAAGGTATGTAGATGCAAATGAATTTTTCATATGAAAGCACTGATATGAATCTCAAGCTTTTCACAAAATTGATCTAGTGTTCGTTTACTAATGGAGAACAACCCGAGTTATCCAAAGGTTCGCCATCTTAGTAAGGTGTTGTAATATGTAATCTGGAGACAGAACAGGATGTGATATTTCTTTTGCCTTAAGAGGGGTCTTCCACCCATTTCGATTGAGTAGGACATATGCAGACCAAAATCAAATTTTCAGCATGCATCGACATTTACCATGAACTGATGTGCCTTCACCTGAAATGCAAGAGGCGTAACTTCATATTCTAAAGTTTGAATAATGATTAGCTCGATGTAGACAGCCATTCCATTCTCTTTCTTTGGAAATCATTATTGTGTCGGGAATTGGAACTCTGTCGTATTTAGTTCATAACATCCATACCAATTGCTGCAAGTTTAAACTACTAGCTCCAATCAGTAGTAACTTTATATACCAATCTGCAGGAACATTTTACTTCCACCGCTTACACATTTTGAACTTTTATATGTATCAGTTGCAGCCTTAGCCTCACAAAATCATTTGAAAAGTGTGCAGCTAATAAGGCCCGTGCCATAATCATACTTCCACCAAAAGGTGATAGGTAAGAATTTTCAACGAACTTTTTCTCTACAGAATCTTCTTTGAACTAGATAGCTGTTATTGAACTGATGTTATGTCTTTAATTTATCAGGTATGAGGTTGATACCAATGCATTCCTGTCTGTACTAGCCCTTCAGCCTATTGCGAATATGGAATCGATCCCCACTGTGGTTGAGGTATGTTAACTGGGGGATACTTCTGAGTGAAGATTACTGGCCAGACTGCAGATTGTTGTAAAATTGGTCTTGGCTTTGGAATGCAGGTTTCAAACTCAACTACTTGTGAACTCCTGAAGTCAATTTGTGGGCTGAAAGTAGAGCCAGTCGAAAATGTGGCATCGAAACTGTTCGTTCAATGCTCTAGGCAGAAGGGGCTCATAAAAATCTACAGACACTTGCTCAATTACCGAAGTATGAGAGGACCTTTTCTTAAGAAACAGTCATTAACATGATCATTGAGACACAAGTCTCGCCTGGTTTTATTTTTCTTGCATTTATATTCATATCTTTTGAGCATTTCTGCCTGTCGAAAACACTAGATGTCAAGCGAAAATGTTCCTAAAAAAGATTAACAAGATTATCAGATATATGTACCTTAGGCTTAGTAAAAATCAACGTATGCAGTACCTAGTTAAAGTTTAAGGTTCACGCCTAAATGGGCTGTTAGAAATTTGCTAGAAAACCCAGTACTTACTTGATCTAACTTAGCAATATGTAAAAAGCTACTAGTGCATACAAGTTGCTTTTGCTTATTACTGAGCAATTCACTGAATGCCACTTGATACCTAAGAAAATACAGTAGTACCTACTTTCTCTGCAAATGGAAAACTCTTATCTTCTTTTTCGGTTCATGTTCACCTTTAACTACCTACTGCACTTCTTTCCGCTCTTTATAGTCCTTTAGAGACGCTAACTAGAATGTGTTAAATCAATGCAGAAAATGTATTCAACCTTTGGAGTTTACCCACTTCAGAAGGAGTTAGTTATAGGCAAGTAAGACGTTCCTTGCAAGAGGTAATGCCATCAATCAAACATAAAATTTTATCACTATTATTATCATTACTTCGGAAGGGAAATTTCAAATTTCTGTTTGTTTTCTGAATGAATATCTTTTCAGGTGGTTGTTTGTGGTCTTTATCGGGATGGGAAGCTGTACTTTCACCCCAATGATGAGGAAATCCTACTGCAAACCGATAAAGTGAGTAGACATCATGGTTTTACCACCTTCTTTGGAACCCCATTTATCATTTCGTTCTGGGTGCAAAAGACATAACTTCATGCCTAGCCATTGAATAACCAAATAGGTTTGATATAATGTTCAGTAATGAGTCTGAGATTCTCTGATAAACTCTGAAATTTATTTTTGCTTTGGTGTATATCCTTTTCCATGGCGTAATAGTTTTCAAACATATAATGGAATTACCATTATATTTTCTTTGGTGTTAAATGATCTTCGTAGGACGTACCTGTGTTAGTATTTGACACTCCGATAATTTTCGAATGGAAACTTAGAAACCTTATAAAGAATTATATTGGAAACAATGAACAACTTTACCAGTTTTGTTGAAGGATGCTGCTTTACACTCATACTACTATTTCAGTGCATGTTCTCGCTGACATTACTTTCATGTGTCCTCAAGCTCCATTTTCCCTCTTCTAGATTTTGTTCATAGGACCTGTTCAGGGGAGAAAGAGGCCGCAGATTGCAGATTCTGAGGTTCTGAAAGAACACACTGCTAGTAAAAGTTTGGAAGTTATGGAAAAGGATGGTGATCATTGGAATCACGCTGTAGAGTTGACGAAAACAAGACTTAAGAATATTGTAAAACGTCCCACTAGATCAGGGTCAAAGGTATCTATCTTCCATACACATAAGCTGGAATGACATTTTGCTCTACAACCAAACAAGTTTTCATTCTTTACCATTGAAAGCAGGCATCAGACTTGACACTAGGACCAACAGAATCTATTCTCTTACTTGGATGGCGTCCAGACGTCATTGAAATGATTAAGGAGTATGACAACTATCTTGGACCCGGAAGCACACTGGTAAACGTTATTTAGCCTGCCTGAATCTTTTTTTTTTTCTCTGGCCATTTCTTATTCTGGGATCTACTAAAAAACATGATATATGAAAACGTGTTGTTCTTTCTGAACTCTTATGGTTGCATTTCTCTATACTATACAGATTCTGGCGATAAATTTTCTCGTTTGTAGCTACTATGATGTTGATCCTGACAAACCTTTGACATATCTTCATGCCTTATTTCTTCTCATTGTCCTCCTATCAATAGTTTCAGATTTCGTATTAAGGAATTCAGTATCTAATATCAAGTTGACGGATTCATAAATCATTTGTACAAGCAGGAGATACTATCAGAGGTACCGTTAGATGAGCGAATGAGGGCAAGTAACATTCTCAAGCTAAAGCATGGAACACTGAATCATGTCCAAGTCTCCCATAGGGTATTGTAAAAGATGCTATCATCAGAGTATTATAAACCTCATTTTCCTTTTCTCTACTTTGTATCTAAAAGGATATAACCTTGTGGGGGCATCCTTTTTTTCCCCCTGATCTTTGAAGTACTTTTTAAGTAGTGCAGGTTGGAAACCCCATGGACTTTGAGACATTAAAGGAAACCATAACCAGCATCCAAAAATCTTATAAGCAAGGGAAACGTGCTCCCCTGTCCATTGTTGTGATTTCTGATAGGGGATGGCTTGCTGGAGGTATGCTAACCTGATTGCATCATTGAAACTTGGATATATCGCAAAGTGATAACTTCCCTCTCTTTCAGATGCATCCAGGGCAGACAAGCAATCCGCCTTTTCTCTTCTCCTTGCCGAAAGCATCTGCAATAAGCTCGGTGTTAAGGTGATTATTACTCATTCTATCATGAAATCAATCAGACTATTAGTTACTGCTGAGTTTTGCTGTTTCTTCCATGAAAAGAGGGTCAAGAAATGAAAGCATACTTTTTTCAGGTACAAAATCTCGTAGCGGAGATTGTCGACTCAAAGTTAGGCAAACAAGTAAGCCCCTTCTGATGAACAAACAAACTGTTATCTGTGGGTTTTCTTTTCCTGGATGAACTTACTGGTTCCATGTGATGTTACAGATTACTAAAATAAAGCCGTCGTTAAACTATATAGCAGCGGAGGAAGTGATGAGCCTAGTCACAGCCCAAGGTCTTCTTAAATCATTATACTCTTGAACGCTCCATCCTGGAAAATTTTTCTTGTTGGTTTTATCATGGAGTGAGACTGTTTCTTCTCACTGACAGTGACACAGAACAATGAACTAAATGATGTGTGGAAAGACATTCTGGACGCACAGGGGGATGAAATATACATCAAGGTAGTCAAACACCCTCTCTCCTCTACTTGTCAAATCTCGAGTTCTGGAAAATAGCCTCTAAATGCATTGTAGTCAAAATTGCGCTTTAAAGGTTATAAGTTTACGCTTTACGTAGAATCGCGCTTTTCCTAACTAATATAGTCCAAATCGCCCTTTAAAAGCTTAACGGTTTCTTAGTCAGCAATACACATCCATGTAAAATTGCGGTTTTTGACTCCATTGCTTGAATGAATAATAACCATCATCGTTGCTGTGTGGTTGGTCGCAGGATGTAAGCCTTTACATGAAAGAGGGCGAGAATCCTTCATTTGCCGAGCTCACGGAAAGGGCACGGTTGAGGCGGGAAGTTGCCATAGGATATCTGAGAGGCAATAAGAAGGTAACAGATGGATAACGATAACCAACCAACCATATACACCCTATGGGACATGTTTCACATTACCAGCATTGCTCCTTTGCAGGTCATTAATCCGAATCCGAAAACACAACCGCTCTTCCTTACATCAACGGACTCATTGATAGTCATATCTGAGCTCGAAGGAGAACAACCCATCGCCGTGTAGTATCACAGACACAGGGTTATATACATACTTACATTTGCTTTTGGACAAATAGAAGAAACTTGCATTGCATCCAATACAGGCCTTCTACCATTGAAGAGCTGATCTAGCAGTATGTTTTATTGAGGAATTGAGAGCATGAAAGTTTGCTCAAGTGGCGACTGGAGCCTGCTGATTTATATCTGTGAATTTTAAGACCTTCCCCCTCTGTTTGTACCATTATTACAGTCGAAATAGGACTTGAGACGGTAAAACTGTAAAAAAGAAAAACACAGGTGGAAAGTGAAAGGTTGTTCAGTGCATAGTGGAGTGGTACATTCGATTTGATATTCATTCCAAAGGAAAGAATGGCTTGGCTCGTAATTCTACGAGGCTTCGACTTTTGATTCTGTAAGACCACACGGGTTTGGATTTTTAGTCATTTTACTCGTATGAACATGATCTTACATTTCGATTTTTAAAAAATAGTTTATTTATGATTGGATAGATGTGTACTATACTTTTAATTAAAAATTCAATCCAATAGTGAAAAGATGTAAGTACTGTCAAAAGAAACAAATTATATAACAAATTACAAAATTTCAAGCAAATATACTGAAGCCAAAAGTATGAGGTGAATAAAAGTTGTTATTTCGATTTTGATGAAGTGCAATATGCTCCAACATATAATTTTTTTTTGACAACTCCAACATATAAAAAGCTAACACATTCCTAACATGTGTATACTTCTAAAGTTGTAGTCAAGAAAAACAAACCAATGTAAACCGTAAGATGTATTAAATCTACGTCTGAATTTGAGTTGAATAACGCATTAAGTTAGCGAGACCACAAGAGAAAAATATGACAAGATCATATCGCAAATATTTTATTTATGATATAAATTCCTTTTGGGTATGAAGTTACAAACACTTAAAACGTTATAACATGAGCTGGCTTGGGTATCTACGGTTGTGTAATCCAAAACTCACACTCAACCATGAGACATGTTCCACAAAAGAAAACTTTGACTCAACCTTAAACCTTATTTTCAACGATAAATAAAAGTCAATTAATTTGAGTTGGATGGGTGGATGTGATTAGTTTTGTTCAACCCTAACACCAGTTTTTTTTTAGAGGTCACCCCTAACACTAACGGAAAAATCCCAAAGTACACTAGTTGTTAAAAAAAATTCCCAAAATACATAAGTTATAAAAAAAATTCCAAAAGTACACATGTTTGAGCATCACCGTTTTTGACAAACGCAGTGAATAATATCACCGCGTTTGTCAAAGACGGTGAATATTTCACCGTTTTAAACTAAGACGGTGAATAGACATCACCATTTTAAATAGACACGGTGAATGCATCACCGTTTTAGTGATCCATGGTGAATAGACGCGGATCGCTGACGTGTACCAACGCGGGGTATTCACCGCGTTAAACAAACACGGTGAATACCCCGTGTTTGTTTGCGTCAGCGATCAGCGTCGCTGGGGCGTTCACCTTGGCCGTTGGATGCGGTGAGGCGCGGATCGTGGTTTTCTTTCCAGATCCGACGCCTCACGCTGAGCCACGTCGCTCGATCCGCGCACCTTCCCCGTCCTCGAGAAACGCGGTGCCTTCACCGTTTCTGACGGACGCGGTGAACACTGAGAGAATTAAATTCTCGGCAGATCCCTTCCCCCCTTCCCCCAACTATAAATAACCCTTCCCCCTTCACTTTCAACTCACACCACAATCATTTCACTTCTTTCTCCCTCAATTTATCCGCTCTAGTCTCGTTCTAAGTATGCTCTGTGGTTGCGGCTAAATCCGATCTTCCACATCAGAAAGAATTACTAGAGTTTGACCCTAAAGCTCCCGTCCCGCTAAGTTCCCGTCCCTTACAAACCTAAACCCGTCGAACCTCTGTCCGGCTTCCGCCAAAAAATGGACGAAGAGGCTCTTCGTGTAGGTTTTTGGTTTATGATTTTTTTTTTAATCGAAACAATTTGATTTTGTGTTTTTTTTATCAAAACAATCTCTGATTTCATTACTTTTTTATAGATGGGTGCCGAGATATACGATCCTCGATTGTATATCCATTATGGCCCAAGGGATGTGAGTCTCTTAACCGATCAAGAAGCTCATCGCTCCCGTGCTATTTGGGATAACAATCCGGTAATTTGATGAGTATTCTTGCTTTATTTTATTATTTTCTAATATTTTATTATGCTTTATTTAATCTAATAAATTGATGTTTTTCCTATTTTTTTTAGGAATCTCTTGTTCCCGTGGTTCATAAAGGGACCAATAACTTGCCCGCTTGGCATCCAAGGTTGGAGCCCTATATAGCGAGGACCGGTTTGGGAATGTTGCGCCATTTCTTGCGGATCGAAATCGACAACGATCTGCTTACGGCAATGGCGAAACGATGGCGTCCCGAAACCCATACATTCCACCTTCCGGAGGGGGAAATGACGATCACCCTCAAAGACGTGGCGATCCTCACCGGGCTTCCTATTTCTGGAGATGCCATCATTGGTTCCACGACCAAACCCGAAGGAGGTTGGGGGCCGCTCATACGTGATCGTTTGGGCTTCGACATGCCGACCACCACACCAATTCAAGGACGGGGGCATCCACCGTTGAATGCGGGCCAAGTGTCGGTCCCGTGGCTGGTATCTCACATCCAGCAAGAGGTGGAAATCAATGACGAGACACCGGAAGAACAAGTCGAGCGCTACGCCCGCATCTACCTCATCGGTTTGGTGGGTGGATTTTTGTTCCCCGACAAGTCCAACCGGTGGATTCAAGGCATATGGTTGCCATTGCTCACTGGTGACTGGGATGCAATTGGAGAGAAGAGTTGGGGATCGGCCGTGCTAGCGGGCGTATACCGGGGAGCTGTGTACTTGCTCGAAAGTTGGGGCAAAGCAAGCTGGTGCTACGATGTTCATCCTACAACTGTGGGTATGGGAGCATCTTCCAATGTTCGCACCTCTCGACCCACGTCCATACCGGAGAAACGATGATGAGCTAAACTTTCTGCAAAATCTCCCCTACGGTGTCAAGTAAGTTTATTTCGTACTTAGCCTAATTTAAATTTTATTACATGCTTAGCTAGATTTAAATTGAATTTATTCCGTACTTAGCCCAAGTTAAATTTGATTACATGCTTAGCTAGATTTAAATTGAATTTATTCTGTACTTAGACCAATTTAATTTATTATTTGCTTAGCTATATTTCAATTAAATTGATTTCGTACTTTTACTTACAAGGTGGATAGGAGCAAATACGAATGACCATCAACCTGAGCATTCGTTACTGTTTTATTGTTCTGAGTTAGATAAACCTTGGTGGAATCAGGTAATCATGTTTTGTCCAATTTGAACAAGTTAAATTTTATCAATGTAAATGGTCGTTAATTCCGAATTTTGAATGAATATAGGTTATATGGGATCCATATCCACGTGAAGTGTTTGAGCTGCATCATTTTAGACACCCTCTAGATCACGAGACGTGGTTGTGCAAGGTGCCATTGATCTGCTGGCACATGGTGGAATACGTCATGTGCTATTGAATGACCTTGCAACTCCCTCCCTACAGCTTGCTGTAGCCGAGCCACTCGCCACTCGTTGACCTTCCAGTAAGACATCTCCACGATGACAGAAATAGGCATCGCTCGAAGACCCTTGTACACATTATTTATACTTTCTCCATGGTTGGTAGTTGCAATGCCCCATCTGGCCCCGTTGTCCATATGGAACGTCCACATGGGCAACTCTTGACCTTCAGCCCATACTGCGCCAGCTCGGTGGGTCTGACGGATCGTTTTCATCTTCTGCTCGTACTTTTTTGGTTGATGTGCAACCGCTGAAAGGTGAACAAAATCGAAACTGGTCAATACATGATGAATAACATCAGCTTAATAAACACAAACTTAAATCGCATAAGAAAAACATTAGTACCTGCATTCCAAAGTTGATTTTTGATGTCTTTCTTCTTCCCAAATTTGTGCTGGAAATTGGCGAGCCAGTGTCGAATACACCATCGCCATCTCCATCCCCACTCTTCGGGAAAACCACCAACAACATTCCTCATCCCCGCATGTCGATCGGATATAATCGTAATATCTTCCCGCTGTGTCACGTGTTCGTGTAGTTGGTCAAAGAACCATGCCCAACTTAAGCTGTTCTCCCCTTCCACTAATGCAAATGCAAGCGGGAAAATCCGCCTGTTTCCATCAACGCCAGTGGCAATTAGAAGACATCCTCTGTACTTCCCAGTAAGGAAAGTTCCGTCAACCTTAATAAAAAATTAGGATCTAATTAGTATGAAATATACGTAACAGAAAATAATACAACATTTAAAACCGGAACCAGTTGGTAAAATACCTGAATAACCGGTATACAGAACCCAAAACCGTCAATGCATGGTTTAAAAGCCCAAAAAAGACGATGGAACATCAACTTCTCTTGTACTCGAACTTGATCCTCAGTGTATACATTGTTGTATACTGGGACGAAAACAGTCCCAGGATTGGACTCCTCCATTGCTCCCATAAGTCTAGGGAGTAAAGCATATGAATCCTCCCAATCACCATACACCTCAGCCATGGCTTTCTGCTTTCCATGCCATGCTTTTTTGTACCTTATCGTGTAAGAATATCGATCCTTCACCTCTGCCATGATAGCTTTCACCTTGATATCTAGTTGTGCTTCTATAAGGTGCTTAATAGTTCTCCCAACTTTCTTTGCTTTTAATTGCCTGTGATCTTGGGAAAGTATAGAAGAGGAGCATGTGTGGATCGTCTCAGCTTTGCGAATCACCCAAGCATCCTTTCTCTTCATATTTGCAGCCCGCAGTTGCCACGTACAACCCTCTGCATCATGCTTGCATATGACATGTAGTTGTTTACTGTCAGAATATTTTACCTTCCACTCGAAATTGCGCCTCAACGCCTCTTCTGTAAAAGCATCATGCACAGCGTCTTTCGATGTGAACGCCATACCCACCTCCAAATTGACTGTCGGATTGTACACTGGCATAGGGACAAAGTCGGGGGGATCATTCTGACTATGTAAAAATTGAGTTGGAACCTGTGTGTAATATGGCGTGGGTGCCTCACGAAATGCCGCCTCATCCTCGTTATCATTAGTATCTTCCTCCTCCTCGCTCACTGATCTAAAATCTTCCTCAGTATCCTCGTCGCTCGACTCGAATGGATAGCTCGGGACAGAAGGATCAACATGACCACGATCACCAACATTGTCTTCTCGCTCATGTGAAGTACGACCTGATCGAATGGTATTCTCGATTTCAGACCACTCTGGCCCCCAAGCAGGCCATTGAACACCATCAACCTCAACAAATGGGGTTGGTTGAGGAGGTTGCGAGTATTCTTCCGATGGCACCCATCCTGAACTACTACCTCCACCGTAGTTGCTCGAACTACCACCCCATCCGTACCCTCCTGCAAAACCATCATCAGAAGAATACTGGTGAGAATGAGATTCACCGACCGCCTCGGTCTCAACATACACCTCTGCAAGCCGGACTTGGTTATCGCTTAGGAACTGTAACATCATCGTAACCGCGTCATCATCATTTATGACAACTTCTTGGAACACGACCCCGCCAGCACTCATGTCTGGATACCGGTAAGTAATTTTGTCAAGTCTCGTCTGTACGCTCGTACAAACCCTTTCTGCACAAATATCACAGAGTTCTTGAAAATTGAATCGGGAATCAATTTTCAGCATAATGGATTCGCCGTCCTCATAATCAATGCCTATGTCAGAGTTTGTCACCCTTCCATTCCACCGAATAGTAAGATGAAACTTCTTGAATTTACCCATATCTACAATTTACAATAAGTATCTATTAGCTTAAAGACAGTAAAATTAACCAAAATCATATTGTACAACTAATATTATCCATCTCATAACTAACGAACATAAATTCAACTAACTAACAACAACATAATACGAAAATTAAATCATACTATAACTAACTAACAACAACATAATACAAAAATTAAATCATACTATAACTACTAAAAACATAATTAGACTATAATACGAAAAGTCTCAACATACCGAAAAATTTCTGTTCTGTGTATTATGCTCGATTTTGGTTGCTGAAATTTGAAGAAAGGGGAGTGGTTATGTTTTTACAACTGCTGGTGATGTGCTATTTATAGGAAAATCTGCCTACTATTCACCGTTTTTGTCGAACATGGTGAACACCATCACCGCGTTTGTCTCAAACGGTGAATAGTTGGTAGTTGTGACCTAATTTTGACCTACCAGGGGTGGGAAAAGATCACCGCGTTAACCTACAACGGTGAAAGTATTCACCGTTTTTAACTAAAATGGTGATGTATTCACCGTTCTAATCAAACGCGGTGAAAGCATCACCGTTTTAGATGAACGCGGTGAATACGTCACCGTTTTGCTTTTCAACGGTGAAATATTCACCGTCTTTGTCAAACGCGGTGATATCCTTCACTGCGTTTGTCAAAAACGGTGAATGCCAAACATGTGTACTTTGGGAATTTTTTTTATAACTTATGTATTTTGGGAATTTTTTTTAAAAAACGTGTGTACGGGATTTTTTCCTATCACTAACACCAGTTAGTTGTACTTCGTGTGAATGTTTTGTGATGCATACCGCTACCATCAGCTAAATGCATTGCTTCAATTCTTCAAAGATGCATAAGCAGCTCATGGGCTTCACGGCCCAGTAAGCCAGCCAACACGATCGAATTCGAAGCGAAGAAAAAACAAAATAATCATATTTATTACACCATCTCCTTCTCTTTCCCTTCCCCTTCCCTCCCAATCCGGCAATCCCTCTAATTTTCTCGCGCTCTTTCTTCTCTCTCTGTATTTTCATTTTCCTCTCCTCCACCTTTCTTCGGGTTCGCCCACCAATTGCTTCTCATCTAAATCCAGTACCGCATCCATGCCGAAACCCTAGATAGAAGACAACTGCTATTCGGTTTCGCTTCAAGGTTCTGGTAAGTCAGTTTCTCTCGGTTCTTCTTTCCTCTGTCCGTCGCATCTATATAACCCCCAAACCCTAACCCTAACCCTACCTCTCTTTTTTTAATTACGAAGGCCGGCGTTTGCTTCTGGCGGTGTTACCCCCAGCTTCGGCTTCGCCCTTCTTCGGTTTGACATTTCAGTGGCCATCTCGGCCGTCTACTAGTGTTGCGGCTCACCATGGCTGATCATCGGAAGGTACCCCCGCAGTCACAGGCTGGTGCGAAGGCTTCCGCCGCTGGGAGCCCTTACTCGATTGATTTGGTTAAATTTAGCTCCCGTTTGAAAGCTCTGTACTCTCACTGGACGCATAACAAAGTCGATATGTGGGCTTCTGCGGATGCCCTAGCTATTGCAACTCCACCGCCTTCTGAGGATCTCCGGTACCTCAAGTCCTCAGCCCTTAACATTTGGTTGTTGGGCTACGAGTTCCCGGAGACTGTGATGGTGTTCATGAAGAAGCAGATACATTTCTTGTGTAGCCAGAAGAAGTCATCTTTGCTGGAGGTTGTGAAGAAACCTGCCAAGGATGCTGTGGGTGCTGATGTGGTGATGCATGTGAAGATGAAGAATGATGATGGGGGTTTGCTCATGGATTCGATTTTTGCTGCTATCCATGCTGTGCGGAGTGGTGGCGATTCTGGTCCTGTGGTTGGCAATATTGCAAGAGAGGCTCCAGAAGGGAAGCTTTTGGAGACGTGGACTCAGAAATTGGGAAATGAAAGTTTTCAACTTGGGGATATAACTGCTGGATTGTCCGACCTCTTTGCTGTCAAGGACAATGACGAGCTCATGTGTGTGAGGAAGGCTGCTTATTTATCTGCCAGTGTGATGAAGAAGGTTGTGGTTCCCAAACTTGAGAATGTCATTGATGAGGAGAAGAAAGTGGCTCATTCAGCTCTTATGGATGAGACCGAGAAGTCTATATTGGAGCCTGCGAAGGCTGGTGTGAAGCTCAAGGCCGAGAATGTTGATATTTGCTATCCGCCAATTTTCCAGAGTGGTGGAGTATTTGATCTTAGGCCGAGTGCTGCAAGCAATGATGACCTGCTGTACTATGACCCTGCTAGTGTAATCATATGTGCCATTGGATCCAGGTATAACAGTTACTGCTCAAATGTTGCCAGGTCTTTCTTGATTGATGCCACTTCCTTTCAGAGTAAAGCTTATGAGGTCCTTCTCAAGGCACATGAAGCTGCTATCAGTGCCTTGAAACCTGGTAACCCAGTTAGTGCTGCATATGAGGCTGCCCGCTCCTTAGTTAAGTCTGAATCTCCTGATCTGGTCGCACACTTGACAAAATCTGCTGGGACTGGAATTGGTCTTGAGTTTCGTGAGTCAGGGTTGGCTCTAAATGACAGGAATGATCGGCTGGTGAAAGCTGGAATGGTTTTCAATGTATCTATTGGTTTTCAGAACTTGCAAATCCAATCGAAAAATACCAAGAGCCAAAACTTCTCGTTACTGCTTGCTGATACAGTAGTTGTTGGTGGTGACAAGACAGAAGTTGTCACCCAAGCAAGTTCAAAAGCTGTCAAAGATGTGGCCTATTCATTTAATGATGATGATGAAGAAGAGGAGGTGAAGCCAAAACCAAAAGTTGAGGCTTATAGGAGGGAGCCCGAGATGTCTAAGACAGCACTGAGGTCTGACAATCATGAGATCTCAAAAGAGGAAGTTCGGAGGCAGCATCAAGCTGAGTTAGCTCAACAGAAAAACGAGGAAACTGCTAGGCGGCTTGCAGGTGGTGAAGCTGGATCGGGCGATAGTCGTGGTGCTGCAAAATCATCAACTGATTTGGTAGCTTACAAGACAGTGAATGATTTGCCGCCTCCTCGAGAATTGATGATTTTAGTTGATCAGAAGAATGAAGCTGTTCTCTTACCAATATATGGTAGTATGGTCCCTTTCCATGTTGCCACCATAAGGACTGTCTCTAGCCAGCAGGATACCAACAGAAACTGTTATATCAGGATTATTTTCAATTTTCCTGGGACCCCATTCAGCCAACAAGATGCCAATTCCGCAAAATATCCAGGGGCTATCTATCTGAAAGAGGTTTCGTTCCGGTCCAAGGATACAAGGCATATCAGCGAGGTAGTACAGTTGATAAAAACTCTTCGGCGGCAGGTGATGGCTAGGGAGTCAGAGAGAGCTGAGAGGGCAACATTGGTTTCCCAAGAAAAACTGCAGCTTGCTAATAACAGGTCTAAGCCAATCAGACTGTCTGATCTTTGGATTCGCCCTGTTTTTGGTGGTCGTGGAAGGAAGCAACCCGGGACGCTTGAAGCTCATCTCAATGGGTTCCGCTACTCCACTTCAAGACAAGATGAACGTGTTGATATCATGTTTGCTAACATCAAGCATGCCCTTTTCCAGCCTGCACAAAATGAGATGATCACCCTCCTCCATTTCCATCTCCACAACCATATAATGGTTGGTAATAAGAAGACCAAGGATGTCCAGTTCTATGTGGAGGTTATGGATCAAGTGCAAAATATTGGAGGTGGAAGAAGATCCACTTATGACCCTGATGAGATTGAAGAAGAACAACGGGAGAGAATCAAGAAGTCGAAAATCAACGGTGAGTTTGATAGCTTTGTGTCTCGGGTTAATGAGCTTTGGACGAATCCTCAGTTTGATGGCCTTGACTTCGATCAGCCTGAGAGACAACTTGGGTTCCACGGTGTGCCTTACAAGTCCTCTGCATTCATCATCCCGGCTTCAACTTGCCTGGTTGAGTTGATCGAGACGCCTTTCCTTGTTGTCACACTAGCGGAGGTTGAGATAGTGAATCTCGAAAGAGTCGGCCTTGGGCAGAAGAACTTTGACATGACTATCGTGTTCAAGGACTTCAAGAAGGACGTCATGCGAATTGACTCCATCCCTTCCACAGCACTCGAAGGCATCAAGCATTGGCTGGATGCAATCAACATAAAGTTTTACGAGAGCAGGCTGAACTTGAACTGGCGGCAAATACTGAAGACGATTACTGATGATCCTCAGAGCTTCGTAGACAATGGCGGGTGGGAGTTTTTGAACTTGGAGGCTACTGATTCCGAGTCTGATAACTCGGAAGAGTCGGACCAAGGGTACGAGCCTTCAGCAAGCGAGCCGGAGTCTGTATCCGAAGAAGAGGATTCTGACAGTGCATCGTTGGTGGAATCTGAAGAGGAGGATGATGATGTCTCTGAAGCAGACTCGGAGGACGAGAAGGGCAAGACATGGGAAGAGTTGGAGAGGGAAGCAAGCAATGCTGACAGGGAGAAGGGGGCTGAGTCCGACAGCGAGGACGAGAGGAAGCGAAGGAAGGCGAAGACTGCTTTCGGGAGGCCAAGGCCTGGACCTCCTCCCAGTTCTTTGAAGCGTTCCAAGTTGAGATAGAAGATCTGAGATTTAGTCATTTAGATAAAGTGGTGCCTTGGAATCAGACTTCCCCCCGTTTCTCATTATATGAGTTACCTTTCAGGTTTCTCAACAACAGTCGATGTCTTGTTAGGTATCTGTGAGGTTTTGAGGATTTACGCTTATTTTGGTTCCTCCTTTTTGGTACTCTTCAATCGTTGGTTAGGATCTGCAGAAGTATTATCGTAGAAGGTTTAAGATCTTTATATGTCGCTTTTAAATTATTTGGTCATTGGAATATGTAGTCGTTTTGAATGCTTCTTATCATTATTATCTTCCAAGTTCCATCTTTCAGCATTGCATTTTCTTTTCTTTTAGTATCAAATCAAGTCAAGGTATGTTGATTCAGCTCAACGTATAAGTTCAACTTTTTTATCCAGGATGGAAAAACGGTATCGGCGGCTCTAACCCTCCTACCGATGCTTAAATCGGTAGGTGAATTTTAGCGGTACTAGAATCAATACCTGCCGCGGCTACGCAACGCGGCAGGAATTAAAGTTGTAGTTGAACGATTGTATGGTGGTTAGTTAAGGTGACGGTAAATTGCAGGTGGTTGTGCTACTGGCAATGGTGTATTCAACATGTTTGAAAGTGTATACATGAAACTTTGGTATTTTGAGTTTCATAAGTAATCAACATAGGAATATATCCCGAGAGAATGGTAGCCTAGGACAGAGCCATAGAAATTTAATGCCGCCAAAAGTGTTGTTTACCATCATATCATAATGGGTTGATGATTAAGTGCAGAAAAGATATAGACAATGGATAACAATCTTCCTATTAATCCAATTAATAGACTAATAATAATCACTTTAAAAGTTTCTTACCGAATCAAACTTATTGACATAGTTCTAATCAAGAGATGCAAACTGAAAGCTACTCTTAAAAACTTATTGACATAGTTCTAATCAAGAGATGCAAACTGAAAGCTACTCTTAAAAACTTATTGACATAGTTCTAATCAAGAGATGCAAACTGAAAGCTACATTTAAGAGTCTCCTACCGAAGGCTACGTGTAAGAGTTTCCTACCGAAACCTTACAAACCTCTGTTCAGTTATGCACTTGCATCTATTATTTCCACGTTCTCATTTATTTGTCCCCAAATTTGCAGCAACATAAACTTTCAGTTTTAAATCTCAAGTTCAACATTGGTTTTCTTTCAATTGTTATTTATTTTGTATGTCCTTTCATCTGCAATCTTGACCTTCCTACTAACTTCATTGGCTTGCATAATCTCATCGTCTGATGTTTCCATCCAGGATTACCACCACCACTTCTGTACCCCCTGCTGCTCTTGCAGCTCCTTCTACTATTTGATGTCAGATGTGAAGGCATCATAGGATAAGCTCAACGCCTGTAAGCCTGGATGTTGTCTCTGCAAAGAAGAAATTCACGTCACCCCAAGTTGAATTGCAGGGGAATCTCGAAAAGATTGATTGGTATAGTGGATAGATAGATGAACCTTACAAAACGTATCTCTTTCTTTGGGTTTATTGCTTATGTGTTGGTCCCCTGCTTTTCACTTTTCAGTGCCAATATCTGGCCTCCCCCACAAAAAAACCATGCTTTGACCAATCAAGTTAGAGATGAAGCATACATGAAACATGGCAGAAAATGAAAAAGAGAAGCTTGAAACACGGCTTCAGAGTCAGTACTCAGTAGCCTTTTCTCTTCTCTTGACCAGCTCCCAAAAGTTACTTTATTGTAAAAGAAAATTTTGCCTTGATGACAGGTAAATAAAAGAAAGCTTTATATTAAGTCATCAATTGCAGGTTTCAAGGTAAATGATTAACAATATTGGATGAAAGTTCTCAATCAAAACCATAGCAGAGGGGGAATTTTTTTAAAAAAAACATGACCATGATGTGTAAGATTGCTGCTAAGTTTTGTTTTCAGACCCATCTGTCATAACTGTGGCTTCTTTCAAGCAAAAAAAGAATATCAAATCCAGAATTCTACAAAAACCAAAACCGAAACCAGTAATTACCTCATCATGAAGCTTCTGTTTGTGGGCTGGAGCCTGGAAGGGCATCATTATAAGCTTTGACAGCCTGAAACTGTCTCTCAAGGACATCATAATCTTTCTAAGCATTCCACCTGACTCTCTCTGTTCTCGAACCAAATACCAATCTAGGCTGCAGCTCAAGAGCTCTAGCTAACAGCATTTTCCCCAACTCAAAGTTCTTCTTTAATGTCTTCACTCGTTCCATGTTCAGCCTCCTCTTCTTCTCCCCTGCCTGTGACCCATCATCTGACAGCTCATCCAGCTGATTCCCACCATTATTACCGCCTTCTAACTCATGATCTCTAATCCCTGAACATGACATGGGTCTCTTCCCTAGGAATTATGTCATCCCTAAAAGATAACAAATCAATCAGCTAACCCACTTCATAATTACCATAAAGGAAACTGGAGTTAAAGGTTAATTACCATGGAAGTCCTGCAGTGCAGGAAGGGAGAATTGGGTTGAGAGAAGTTGGAGGCTAGTGATGGTAACCTTCTTCCTCCTCAGCATGATGGGCTTGGAGCATAAAGTTTGTTTGGTAGAAAGCCACAAAGCCATCCCACTGCAATTATGGACTAAAGGAACACCAAAGCAGGAACATTGTCAAGGTACAAAGCATTCGTTGGAGATGGGAGGCAAGAGAATCGAGAACCATAAAAAGAACAAAGTACGAAAACACAAAACACATAAGCTCCCCGAGTCCATCTGGAAATATTCCTCGTCCATTAATTAGGCAGAAGAGAAGCAAAATCCAAATGAACCAATCTGCTGAGAATCTCGCTTGTCAATTAATATGTTTTAGACGAAATAGTTTCTGGGAATGTTTCGGGCACTCATTTCTTTAGTGATAGCTAAAGCACTTTGCTTCCTTCCAGCATCTCTTCTCGTAAGTGAACACGTCAAGTTCAAAATGGAAAACAACAGCTGTTAATGGTTAGACTATCACATCATAAAATGAAGACTTTTTGTACCTGAACTGTTGGAGATGGTAAGATTCTTCAAGCATTTGGTCTCACGAACCATTATCCAATGCAACTCCAGAACCTGCATTTTTAATCCATAATAAATCAAGTCATAGAAAGGATGATCACCAAGGCCAGTTACACAAAGACCTGTTGATTGTGTTATATAGCGCAATAAGATGACTGAGCTATAGAATGAAATTAAGTATTCAGCCTATCCAACAGTAAAATTGAAGTATGAATTATAATTACGGATTCAAATACTACCAGCTATAAGAAACAACCTGTAAAGTCCAATATCCCCTACGCTGCCATCTTTAAAAGTTAAATCAGTAAGGAAGCTATCGTTGGGCAGTGCATGTATTCTGTAAACACAATCACAATATTTCATCCAAACAAAACATCAACAGGAGGGAAAAGCTAATAGTACTGGTGCAGTCTGTTTGCATTCGTTTATCTTTAAAAGTTATTGATGACAACTCTGCTTCCAGTTCAGCTGACAAATACAATTTCCATTCCAAATTACACAGACAATTTAGCATGAAGTTGAAGAGCAGAGGGAGCAATAATGTTCTAAAACTTGTCCCCTTCCTTTTACATGGTCTCTTTGCTAATTATAACTGTGTTTTGATCCATATCGGTACCTGTTTTAAACGTTGATATTTGAAAATGAAGAAAAACAATCAAATGGAAAGTGAGCCAGGTTCTAGATTCTCATTACCATTTACCTTGCAAGATTGAGCAGAGTCATCCAACACATTTTATGCTCCATTAAATTCATGGTTTAAACCATGAAAAAACTCGTAGGAAGAGATCCTTCTATTTACTATGCATGTGCAAAGATACATCACACCAACCTGAGAAGAGGAGGTTGAGCGCTTGTTATTCCTCTTACAGTTGGCAGCATGGCTGCATGTCCGGAGGAGGCCTAGCAAGAAGCAACAAACATTAGCATGAGGTAGGAGGATTGTGACAAAGGGAATATTTTAAAAGTGACAAACAATAGTAAGATCAAGTCATTTGATTTCAAAGTTACAGGAGGGATCAGATCATCTTCCGTATAGTTCAAATGACTGTAAAATCACCTGATTTAAGAACTCATAATGAGATCTACATACAGGTCTAGCCATCCTCCAATATGGTGATATCCCTATGTTGCAAGACACAGATCCTCCATGGCAGACGATGGCCTCAACCGGACACTACCACTGCTCTTCAACTGCAATCTTCAAGTCTCAAGTGCATGCTTCTGTTCTCTGTCCCAAAAAGCAATGAAACCCATGAAACCTCGGATAAGAGCAGACAACAGAAAAAATGCAAAGAATAGGAAGCACCTTACCATAAAATTCCAGCTTGCACTGCTGCAAATGAGCCAAGTCAATAGAAACATTACTGCTGTCTTCACAGCCAAAGAGCACCAATGTTTATTAGGGCACACCTGGAGTTCAGAGAAAAATGGAGAATCCTCGAACCCGGCTCCAACGATTTCAAGGTTCTGAAGCTAACCTAGACACTTGGTTCGTTCCCCTTCCTCTTTATGTGGCTGACATAGCCGTGGATACCAAGGTTCGATTCCAGCTCATTTGTAGCCATTCTTATATTGGAAAAAATCAATGGAAAAGGGGGAAAATAAATAAATGAACAAAACCTTATGTAGATGAACAACCCAAAAAGCTGAATTGCCATTCAAGGTCATGTGTATCCATCCCAATAATGAGCTCTTGCTGCACACCATGACCTCTTGCTGACCAGGCCTGTCAACTTTTCTGCAGAACAAAAAAGGAAACAATACTTGGAAGTTCCTCCAAACTCATAGAGCAAACATGCTGTCATATACAAAACTACATATGTACTTGCCTGCGTGAATGTTCCACTAAGAACACTTCAAGAAGATCAATCGAAGCCAACACAGCCGCCTAACACCTGCAATAGACAAACCAACAGAGGTCAAAATGTAGGTGATGCTTGTTCCACACACCATCTGCAAATTACCAAGCGATCCATATATAATGTAAATCAATTAGGTGGTCTAAAGGCATGACAATATGTATTTCAAGTTAGTTTCTCCTGAGGTACTGGAAACCATTAACCTAGCTGCACTCTGCACTTTAATCAAGGGGCAAAAGCCTATCATGATTCATTATTAGGAAACAAACCCCAGCATATGTTTTGATAGGTCCAGTAGCATAGCACAGAGGACAACCAATCTGCAGATTCAAATCTGTTTTACATACGAAACCAAGAAATGGATAGAGAAGAGTTTCCTTGTGCTTACATTCTCGTCGAGGGTGGTGATATTTTTCCTTCCTCCTCTTCCTTCTCATCTCCTTATTCTTTCGCTCCTCCCCGGCCGCCGTTGAGCTTCTCTCGTCTTCCATCCTGAAAATCGGCGATTCCACCAACTTTGACCCCATCCTCCTGCTGGTCCATCACCATCACCACCGTCAGTTTCTGCTGTTCCTCCCCATGGATAGGGCTAAAGTACGAACTCGACGAAACCATGTCATCAGAATCTTTATTGCTACCGCCTTGCTCTGCAGCGAGAGTCAAAACCGAATAGGTGAAATTAAATATTGTCGACAAAGAAGACAGATAAATAAGACCTCACCATCATAGGCGATTTTGTCCACCGTCGTTGGTCCTCCTGTTCCAAATCGATTTGTTCATCCTCCGCTTTCGTGTTCTGGTTCCACGGAGACCAGCAGCAAGGAAACTTTTAGAGTTTCGTTGCAAGAGAGAAGAAGGGGATTATGGTGGGGGGAAGAAGTGAACCATTTGTCTTCCTCTAAGTACAATCGATGAATCGCAGCCAACTGATGGGGAGAGGACAACACTGTAGAAGCAGAAGGAAGACATGGATCTGATGTACGGGAAAGCAAAGCGGAGTGACGAAATAACGGGATGGGAAGGAGGCATGTCCAAAGAGCTCTGCAAAAGTGGCATGGGTGATGGCGTGTAGTGTAGGACATATGCAGAGAGGAGGTAATTGGAAGAAGGACAGTGAAGTTGACAGAGAAACAGTGGAAAAAGCATGGTAGAGGGCAGTGAAGCAGCCGAGAACTTCTGGTGGGGCGGGACAGTCACCAAAGGCGGGTTTCCAAGAACTTTGAGGACTCAACTCACTAAACGTTAAAAATTGAAACAGTAGCAAGAAATCTGGGTAAAAAGTGTACCCACTAATTATATATAAGAAGAATTAAGGGTATCAGATACTACCTCTGATACCGTTAAACTATAGTTTCGACATTTAATTCACCTCAACCACTGGTGGTAAATGATCGACCTTGGCATGAATGGTGAAATGCGAATCCAGATAAGAAAGAGTGGCATGTTTTCTGTTGTGTAACCGGTTGAATTATACAAAAATTGTTCCTCAAACCATGCTAGTAGTTTCTGAAAAAAGTCGGACCTTGGTTTGGCCGACTGACCCGGCATCTTTTGCCCTAACTATTTACTGAGCGCACACAACACGGGAGAGAAGAAGAAGAAGAAGAAGAAACAGAAACGGAGGTGTCAAATTCCAAAGCCGTATAAATATTAAGGTACGGCTATCACTGTCGGGCGGCGAGGGAGCGTCCCAAATACTGTCGTCAATCATTCCATTTCGGAGTCCGGTTTCCTTTCTCTCCGGCTCTCTGGCGGCGGGGAATACATATTGAGCTGCGAGCATGGCCCACGGCGGCTATGGCAAGCGCAGGGTCGCCGGCCGACAGCCTTCCGTCGGCCGTCGGTCGAAAGCAATCGACAAGAAAGGCAAATCCAAGTCCGTCTCGCTCAAGAACCAGATTCGTTCTGTGGAGCGTATGCTCCGTAAGGTACTCATCTTCGTCGCTTTTGTTGTTCGTAGGAAGTGAGGGGAACCTCGTTTGTGGTGGTTGCCGCCTGTAGGATTAGGGTTTTTTGGGTATTGAGTGCTATGTTCTTACCGGAATTGTGTTCTCTGTGAAGCAATTGACGCCGGAAGTTAGGGAAGCGCAAGAGAAGAAGTTAGAAGGGCTGAAGAATCAGCAGGATCTCCATACTCGATTGGCTCTTGAGCGCAAAATGTTCTTGCGAGACAGGAAGATTAAGTTCTTTGGTACGTTGTTTTTGTTCTCCTAGTATTAGCACTAGCCTGTTTCTGTTTGATTGTATTTGGTTTTCGATTGACTGTGGAGAGCTGAGTTGTGCCACACTATGATTGTTTTTTTTAGAGAGGAGAAAGGTGGAAAGAAGAATCAGACGCTTGGAGAGGCAACAGCGAGCTTCTTCCGGTCAGGCACTTGATCCCCAGGCTGTTGAGCAGCTTTCTAAGTTGAAGGAGGATCTTGAATATGTTAGAGTAAGCTTGGCTAATTTTATTTTCTGTGTGCGCCTCGTTGAGTGTTTGTGCTTTGCATTCGAATGTTTCTCTGTGACTGTGAGGGAGGAAGTGAACCGTTGTGAAGACATTTTGGTGAATTTAACTCTTTATGCTGAAAATTTTGCAGTTTTTCCCCAAGACAGAGAAATATGTGTCTTTGTTTTCTGGAGGCGATGATTCAGAGGTCCTTGATAAGAGAAATGGATTGCGGAAGCAGATTAAAGCCAACCTAATTGCTGCTGCTGCCAGTGGCAAAGACCTCGAAGGTATGTTTGACGCTTAAGCTTTTAGTGTGCGCTGACCCTAGATAATAACTTGGAAGGAAGGTTTAGGAACAAGCACAAGATGTAGAACCGACACTCCCCATGTATTGTGCTTGATTATTTGTGTGGACAACTATGTGCGTGTGGTTTGGAATATACCATAGTGCTCTGCCCCCCCAGTTAATATCTTGGAAGAAAGGTTAGGAATAAACACATTATTTAGAACTGACCCCTCCCTTGTATTGTGCGTGATCTTTTTTGGATTACTGTGTATGTGGCTCTGGCTTACATTTCTTGATTCCATGTGGGCCTGAAATAGAGGAAAAAGAACTACTTGCTCTGTTAGAACTTGTGTTGTTGTTGTAGACTTGTCTAAATTTGGTTTATTTCGTTTTTGGGCCCTCCACTTGTGCTGGCAGAGACGGGAAGTGAGGATGACGGGCTGTTGGATCTCAGCGAGGATGATTTCTTCCTAGCTGGAAGCTCAAGTGATGAAGCAGATGCAGATGATGAATGGACAGACAAAAGCACAAGGTAAAATGTCACCGATCTTCGATTCGGTCCTAGGTTCGTTACATACATTGGAAAACACTGTAAGGAATGAGTACTGATTCCAAGTCTGTACTCCGTTGGTGTGAGCTTTCTTTGATACATCAGTGGCAATGCTCATATTCTAAAAGAAGGAAAAGAAAGACGAAAGCTGTTTGTTAGCTCACACTACTGAATGTTGTATTAAACAGAGAACAGGCTTCAAGTACTTCTGGTAAAGCAGCATCTGGCATGTCAAGCGATGAAAAGAATCAGGTCATTTCTTTCAGAGTCCAAATCCCATCTTTTAGAGTGCATTCCCCTGTATTGCAATGCTTCTTCTTCCTTCCCCATCATTTGGGCTCCATTTCTCACTTTTAGCTGGCGCTGTACAGAGGGAGATATCTGCTAGAGCTCTGATGCCTCCTCCCAGGCCTTCACACAACTCAAGTCGTTCCAACACAGTCCATGGGAGATCAAGGTTTGGAGCGTCATCAAGTAAAAATTCGTGGAGACAGAGGGCTGATATATCTACTACATCCAGCAACACTTCAAGCAGCAGCAGAAGTGGTCCGTCCACTTTTCAACCTGGCAGCGGCAGGGGTTCTTTAAATGGCAGGACTGGCAGTGGCACTGGCCAGAGCAGTAATGTTAGTTCTGGCTCTGATGCTCATAAGCCGCACAGGAAGAGGAAGAGAAGAAAGAAGAAGCAACAGGTATTCCATTTCATGGTTCCTCATACATCCGTGTTAAGTTTTCTTGCGATCTGCAGCGACGAATTATTCTCTCTTAAAATTTTGCAGGTGTAACGTTAGTGTAACTATGGTTTTGCTCGGTCGAGGAAGACGAACGTACCAATGTCATGTACTTTGGTGCGTTGGACAATGTTTTGGCAGCTGCAGACTGCAGCTACATATACGTGTTGTAAAACGTTAAACTCTTGTTCCTATCGAACAGTCTTTTATTGCGCTCGAATCATCGATTTAACATTGTTTCGATAGGTTGGTTTCCTTTCGACGTCGTCTGCACTGCTCAATGCCTTAATACCATTTCCTTTGTCTTAGTCCTTACTTCACCCTCTGCCTGTTTGGCCAAAGCTCGCAAATGAGCATGTGTTTGTTATTGTGTGGATATTGACGGTCGATCCAACGGATGTCGTGGCGACAGTTTTTTAGGAGGTTGTTTGGATGAGGTATTGCGGCCCAAATAATTTATTGTGATTTGTGAGTCATTTGTAACATAATAATCTGTATGGAACTCAATGCACAATGAATCATTTTAACTTTTTTTTTTTTTGATTACTCATTTTAACTTTTGTTATACTGAAAAATGAGTTATTTTAAATAGGGTAAATACAATTTAATATCCAAACCTTTCATTTTAAACAACATAATAGCCAAACCTTTTCGAAAACAATTTAATATTCAAATCGTCAATTTTCTGTCTATTTGACCGTTAGTTGACACTTCAAAAAAGTTTGAAGTACGACACTTCATCAATATCCATCGATATCTTCTCTGAAAAACCACCAACATATCGTAGTTCCAAACCCGAGAAGTCCATGACTCCACCATGATGGTATAGAATATCTAAATATTCAGTCATCTGCAATGCTAAAACAAGAAAACAAAGTTGTATTGTGACAATTTCCCCTAAACAAAGCTTTTTTGAAGTGTCAACTAACGGTCAAACGAACAGAAAGTTAACGATTTGGATATTAGATTGTTTTCGAAAAGGTTTGGCTATTATATTGTTTAAAATGAAAGGTTTGGATATTAAATCGTATTTACCCTTTTAAATAACTCCCAACCTCGTTATTTCTCATTATCTCATTCCACTTTCCATCCCCCTCCCTCTTTTGAGGGCATTACAATGTTTACCCATAGCAAATTCTATTTGCAAATGAATCATAAATTTTCTTCATTAAAAAAGATGTTTCTACTCTCAAATTTATCAAATGGTACACAAATACTACATTTGAAATTCATGGGTAATTTATGCACAAATACCAAATCATAACAATTACTAACCCATCAAACCACCTCTTACTGGTTGTTTGGTTTTGGTGATAGTTTGGTTACTAATAAAGGCTAACATGATATTTCTCCCAATAAAAATAGTATAACTTATTTCAATACTACAATAACTGACACAAAAACAAATAACGTAAACTACAATATTACATCTATTGTTCACCATGCATTAATTTAACTATCACTAAAATCAAACGACATCTCAGTAGTTTGACCCTTGGGTGTGGTGGTATGACAAAAGAACCTATTATCGTGGATATCCAACCGAATTCAAATTATTTTTATGGTGAAAATCCAATCAATATTTACTTTTGAGTAAGTTTGCCCAGAACCGACAAAGAGGATAATGAGTTTGGTGTGAGTTTGACACTTTAAATATTTGCACCAAACTCACTTCAATATGTACTACGACTATGATTGAGACTCACTAGTTTCTAACACTTCAGTCATCAATATCTCTAAAGCATTATAATTACCTCTTCCACACAACTCGTTACTCATTTTCCTCACATTTATAAACAAATGTCTTGATAAAATATAAAAATGATTTATGAATTGATTACGATTTCTAAATTGTGGTTCGAGTGTTTAACTTTAACATCGAAGAAAATCGGTCCATCCGAACGGATCTACTAGCATTCTAGCAAGTGTTTACTTGCTAAGCTGACTCGTGCGTGCCTGTCAGTCTCTAGTCAACAATATCATTTATAGCTGAAAAGTAAAACGACTACCACCATTCAAAAAACCCTGCATCAGGAGGGTTTTTCGGGAGCTGACGTGGATGCAATTTTTCTGCGGTACATTTTTTTTTTAATTTCTTTAAAGGAGTGGGCGGTCACTAATTCCTTCGATTTCATTGTTAACCCTCAACCGGCAGTTCTTCCATACCGTGGTTGGCGAACGATTGAGTTTAACGCCTGCATATCTGTTCTGGACTGGGTATTGTTCCGGAAGAGGAGCCGACAGTATCCTCTACCGGCAGAGCTAATGTGTTCATAAACAATTTCCTTCCTTCCCTATGATGTCTATTGTTATCGTTGCAGGTTTATGCTATGATAGTTTTTTTGAGCTTAGTTGCTATAATTTGGGCCAAGTAATTTGGTCTCATCTATTAATGATATCGGTTTGTGTTATGGATGCAACATTCTCTTCCAATTTCCATTTGTTCTGCATGTTCTTGGTTTTTAGTTGTTTCGTTTTTTTATTGCAGGTTGCATGCGTACGTTTCTCTTTGTTGCCTTTCCAATCAACGGTTGGGATTTTAGCTGTAAGTAGTTTGTACTTCTCATCCCCATAGACTAGAGTGTGCTTTGTATAATACTTCCAGTCCACACTTCTGAACAATTAGGGTAGCTAATTAGAACATGGTTTTGTTATATATTGCTTACCCTCTATGCCTCCCCTTGGTCTGAATGAAGTTGTAATGCGTACCGTTTTTCAATGAATTTTGAACTACAGAAAAAACAAAATGATCTTTGATATACAGAACGCTAAGAAATTTGGGACTTGTCTGAAATGAATAAGGTTCCTATTTGAGAGTTGGTTGATTAGTTCCCTAACCTACTCTCATATTACGTAAACATCAATCCTTTCTTTTTCCATGTAAAATAAAAATGTCGTCTTTGCCGCCTCCTAAACTTGAACAAATTAATCTAACCGCACTGATCACTAGGGTCTAGAATACCAACCACTGATGTCCACCATTTCCATTTCCAAATTTTGTGGTCAAATTACCAGTGCTGTTCATTCTGTAGCTATAGTTCTCATCCTTTTCCATTTGTGAAACACTTTTTTCACTTTACTAATTCCTACACTGACATACCATTCACTAAACACAAACTCTACAGGCCAGACATTGATGAGCCATGGGAGATTCGCATTGCCTAAATTGTGGACTCGGTGAATTATTGTTGATTTTTTGGGGTCATTGAAGTGAAATTTCTCTGTTATCAAGTCTATTAACAAGTTGTGATACTGATTTGTATTGCCATAAACATGTCGTGTTTGGAGATGGTGAAGCAGCCTTATCTTGGAGTTCAAGCCTTTTGTAATTCATACCTACTCAAATCACATTATCTATGATCCATCTCCATCTTCCGTATGCATTTTTAGTCATAATTTTTGTTCGATTTCTTCTGTAATAACCAAACTAGCATTTAGCCCGACCCATTGGTCGGGTTTGGTTGTTCTATTAGCCGGCAATCACGAATCATTGCTATCTAAACGGAGTCTTCGATATTTTTTTTTCTAAATTCAATTTCACCGAAGCGCCCTCCATTTGGTGTCTGAGCTAGACGACCATGAATGTAACCGTCAATATGCACGTATGCCCATAATCTCAAATATTGAGTTTATACATTTGTTATTTATAAAAATTATGTCATGACATGCCCTACTCCTTTGTTGATAGTTACTTGGATTGTTAAAGGCTTATTTTAAATCATGAGTTTGCCACTTGCTCCAAAACAACTAATAATTTCAAGAAGGGAATTAGTGTCAATGAGCACTTCCAGATTTTATGGATTGTTTAAAAGTGGTTATTGTTAAAGAGATGTATTGTGGTGAATACATGTATTTATGAATTTGATGTACAATAAAGTACAATATTCGGTATCTATGATTGTGTATGTCACATAAACTAAAAGCCGAGATGTTACAATAAAAGCTGAGGTAGAACTATCTCTGAGCAATAGTTTCTATCGCATTAAAAAACAATCCATATATTTTATATAAAAAAATAAAAAATTGTAAATAATACAAATATAATAATCATATCCCACAAACTATAACAACTTCCAAACTAACTCTTTTAATCCCTAAAAATATATCCTTAGCTACACATAGATGACAAATTGGGCCCTTAAATAAATCAGTAGGGGCACGTATACGACAAATTGAGCTGGCCAAATTCTTTTTTTTATATCATAGTCAGATGAAATAATAGACAGATATGATTACAAAGAGTAAAATAAACGTCAGTCGATACTAATCGATCTGACGATGAAAGAGCCCTTTATGCCTACTAAATGGGCAGCTCTGTTAGTTCCCTAGGAAAATAGCGAAAAAACACTAAAACTCCATAATAACCCAACCTAATAACCAAACCTAATAACCCCCGTCCAGCTTGGATTGTTCACAGTTAATTTGCTCATGATTACAGGAACGGGGAGGCAATATTCGCTGAACCTCAACCTCCAACGGCGCCAGAAATTAAGATTGTCCGGCGACAGTGAGTCGGAGAAGAATGGACGACGGCAGCACAGAGGTTTGAGGCTCATTCTTGGAGAATCGCAGATGGCTCTCTGCTATTGGGAAATCACGGATAAAAATTGGGGAAGAATTTCAGCGGAAGAGTTTACTTTCCAATTTTTTTTTCTAAATTTTACTATTTTATAGGGTCGAATTTGCCGGCTCAAGTATTCATTTCTTTGAAGATCCGGGCTGGGCTTAAAATTTAGAGGTGCTCATTGACGCAAATGCCCTTCCTGAAATCATGGGCTGCTTTGGAGTGGCTGACGTGGCAAACTCCTCATATGCACTCCTGTATATATATATGGGTTGATGAGGGGGGGTTTAAAAGTAGATCCTCACTGGATTAACGAGCAATTTAGGTCCCTCTTTTCAAAATTGTATTTGTTTACTATTTTCTTTGCCAAATTGCATTTGTTTATGGCAAGAAATCAATAAGAATGGATAAAACCGAGCGAGTCAATTAAGAATGCAAACACGGGTGGGCAATGGGATGGTCCACACCTGAATAAACCGATGTTAGGAGCATATAATTTCGAATCGAATATAATTTGGTCTGATCTTGATCCTATTAATTTTACAAGTATTGAAGAAAAATAGACCAAATTGACATTTGGACCGAACCAAAACGGATCGAATGCAATATTGTCTGGTCCTTTGGTCTTGAGATATCTTTCACTATTGGACCGCAATTTTTTTGAGTTTATCTGATTCAGTCCGGACCGGACTGATGCCCACCCCTAATCGCAAATGGCAGGACCATAAACTAGAAGAGTCAAACGTAGTTGATTGAGTCATTATGCACTAGATATTTGTTTAGGGTTATGAGAATTATGTTAATAATTTGTGTATGCCATGTGTGTTATTTTTAAATTTATGCTCGGACTCACTTGGAGTGACCCAAAGGAAGATGTGAAGTGATCTAAGAACATGAGCATAAAACCATAAACGCCCACTTATGTTCATAGCACTAACCAACATGCAAGGCAATAGGAATTTGTTCATCTTTACGAGAATCGTACTAAGAAATAAGGGTCAAGGTTTTGTTGCCTCAAGTTGTGTTTTGAATTTTAAGACCTAGATTTTGATTTATATGGTTAGTACTGATAGTTTGAGTAGTCAATGCAGTGGGAAAATTATTCGAGTGGCTTGGTGTTGTCTTCATATTATTATTTTTTTGTTGTGAAAGTTGTCTTCATATCTTTGTTTGTAAAAATTAAGAACCTATCGTATTTACGGCAATTGAACTTTTAAAATAAGTGGAAAATTAATGAAGCTCTAATCTCATACACAATACATCACTTTTTCCCTGTTAGAGTAGCCAACTTGGTGTAAACTAACATATTTCGAAATGTGACATCCTTGACATGAAGTTTTCAACATACCAATCAATGCTCAGTTTATATTTACTTTTAGAAATTATTCGAGTTTTTTTGCATATAAGGGTTTATGTGGATTGCCCGATTTTATGGAGTTGTCTTCATTTTTCACAACTTTAGCTTTGCCCACGGTTATGCCGCGGGTCATTATTCGAGTAGAAAACTTACATCATTTGTATTTAGTAAATTATTTTTCTCAATCGACAAACATGTCTAAGGAAAGACCTTGTTGTTTTCTATCAATCTAAAGAGAGAGAAATGGTTTTTTTACCAATATAGAAAGATGTCAACATGCTTGCCATTAGTAATTTCATCAAAATCAGAATTAAAACCTATTTATATAGTCGAAACAATATCTTAAATATACTATTAAGCCAGATTCGTTAATGCATGAATGCACATACTCTTTAAATCGAAATCGATGCATCATTACTTGTAAGGTAATTTGTTAGAGTTAGCTTCTTTTGATTTTGTAAGGTAATTTGTTAACGGGATAGGAAGGGATTGTGAGTAGTGGTTCTTTCTAGGTGGAATGACACAAATATTGTGTTTTTTTTTTAAATTTACCACCCATATGGCGGATTAAAAAGTATTGACAAGTATATTGTGTTTTGGAGAAAAAGTTAGGCGAGAGCACCTGAGACTGAGGTGTCACCACCTGAGGCTCAGGCGAACAGGTGGGAAGAAAGTCCCAGGTGTTGGCACCTGAGACTGAGGTGGCACCGCGAAGAACAATCCTAATTCTAACCCTAAACCCTAAACCCTGAACCCAAAACCAGCGAATTTCGTATCAATTATTCACACCACAAATGGCTAATAGGTAAGAGACATATTTATTTTTTTAATTATATTATTCAAATGCTATTATGATTGTGTTTAGTTTAATCAGTGAGTTTTTCTGTAGTGATTTTAGAAGATTTGAACTAGTCGTTCGGTGGAAATCGGAGAAAGTAGAGGATAATTTGGTCGTCAAATTCGTTGGTGGTGCTAGTTTTCAGTTGACAGTTTTTCAAATGTAATAGTTGTGGTTTGAAGTAGTTGTTGTTTTTCAAATAGTTGTTATGGTTTAAGAAGGTTGTTGTAGTTGTTGTTTTTCAAATGTAGTAGTTGTTGTTCTTGGCCAAATTATAAAATGTCCGAGTTGTTGTTTGTTGTTTGTTGTTCCGAATAGTTATCGCTAATAACATCATAAATGAATGTAGAAATAGTTCAAGGAATAGAATTAGGATTAGAATTAGGATTGTTCTTCGCGGTGCCACCTCAGTCTCAGGTGGTCTCGCCTAACTTTTTCTCCAAAACACAATATACTTGTCAATACTTTGTAATCCGCCATATTGGTGATAAATTAAAAAAAAAAAAACACAATATTTGTGTCATTAACGGATTAACCCTTCTTTCTAATTATTGTCTTGACATTACTCGGAAAAAAAAAATCAGAATCCAAATCTAATTATTACTCTTACTTTTTTTTTTTTTGCCTTACAGGAGGCACGAGGCCAAAGAAAAGAAAACAGGGGGCAGGAATCAGATGGGAGGGGTAGACGGAGAGATCACAATGTTCCTAGGAGTAGTGAAACCACGCTGATCATCCTGTAATATGTGAAGGGCCTCTTGAGGCGGATCCTCCAGTTCATACATACCGTAGGGATAGACGAGACTGTGCTTCGAGAGCCAGTCCGCGACTCTATTCCCCTCTCGGTACGTATGAACTAGGTTCACCACCCAATCAAGAGAGATCTTCCTCCTGATGGCCGAAAGAAGAGCCGCATACGGGTGAAGGGGGTCTGTTCTGTTCTTCACCAGCTGAATGGCCAACTGAGAATCTGACTCAATGATGATGGTCCTATAGCCTTTGTTCCAAACCAGCCTCAAGCCATGGTAGATAGCCCACAGTTCGGCCATAGTAGCCGAACAAGACCCCAAGCTAGTAACAAAACCCCCAAGCCAGCAACTGTTGGAGTCACGGATTACTCCTCCAGCCCCGGCCAGCCCTTGGGAACCTCCTGCTGCCCCATCAACATTAACTTTCATCCAACCTGCAGGTGGCGGTTGCCAACCAACGTCTGTCATCACCCGGTTCGGAGCCGGGTTACCTCTTCTGGCAATCGAAGTTGGAGCATTCCAAGCCCGAATCCAAATATCTGCTTTGATCTTGATAGACTGCGTAAGAGAAGGTGCCGACAGGGTCTTATTCATACCTTTGAAGACGCCTTCATTCCTGTTCTTCTATAGGCACCACAGGGAAATCCCAAAAAAGGCATCCCAGGGGAGGCCGGAATCAGTAGTTTCCTTGCTTACGGGCGGGTAAAAGCTAGTAAAAACTAAAAACTTCAATTGACACAGCTAGTCCCACAGCCGTCTCCGCTGTCCAAAGTACAACCACCGAACAGGCAAACACAAAACGAAGAGAAACAGAATCCCTTCTCCAATCGACCAATCCATTTTCTTCCGCTCCCTTCTTCGCTGGCGGCTAGGATTCCGGCGTCCCAATCGAAAGTCTCGAGCTCCGCTCGATCAAGTAAAAGGAAAAACGAAACGGAGCGGAAAAGCGCAAGGCTTTTAAGGAGAAGAAGGAATGGCAGGAGGAGGAGCAATTCACCGCTCTCTCCTTCTTTACTCATTGCTCCAGCTGGTGTTCATCCTGCTTTCTTCCCTCCCCACAGCCCTAGCCGACGGCGTCTCTTCCGTGGAGGCCAAGCATCTCCGCGACGAGGTAGCTACACTCTCGCTCTTTCTGCCTCCTTCGATCATCGCCCTAAATTGTTCTGATTCGATTCTGGTTATGCGAATGAACCCGGCATCGGATTGATCTCCCAATTCTTTGTCTATGTACGTCTCTTGGATCTCGTATTCGAGATCGTGGGCAATCCAGGTGGCGATTGTTCATTTTTCACAATTGATTTGTCTACGAGCTCGACCTTAACCATAATTTTGATGGCCATTGGCAGGTGCGGGAAATGTTCTATCACGCATTTGATGGATACATGAATAACGCTTTCCCGCTTGACGAATTGAGACCCCTCTCATGTCAAGGTGAAGATACGCTTGGTGGTTATGCACTCACTCTGGTTTGCCCCAAATCCGTTTCTGCCCCCTTCCTTTTGAATCGTCTCTGTTTCCTCGCTTCTACCTCAATGGAAGTATGGTAACAGTGATGCTGCTTTCTATGCTGCTGCAGATTGATTCGTTGGATACGCTTGCTCTACTTGGGGATAGAGAGCGGTTCACTTCTTCCGTTGAATGGATTGGTAAAAATCTACAGTTTGATATAGTGAGTAAGCATTTTTCAAAGTACATGCTGGGCTAGCTAGAGAATTGTTGGTTATTTTTAACTACTTGGTCTACATACTGTATTGGGTAGCTTGAGATTTTTGTTGAAATTAGTATGGTTTATCGTTTGATGATTGGCAGAATAAGACAGTATCTGTTTTCGAGACCAGCATCCGGGTTCTTGGAGGTTTACTTTCTGCCCATCTTATAGCAAGTGATTACGCCACGGTACCGAACTTCTCTTTTTGTTCAAACTTGCACTATCTCTATGTCTATATCTTAAAACTTACAAAATGGGTAAGATAACTGGTTTATTGATGATCACATAACGTATAGGTGCTTTGAGTTCAGTATTCAGTTTGTGGGGTGCATAAAACCGAATCACGTTATTAGTTCTCTCCCACCGCTCGACCTTGGAAGTAACTCTGTGGTTCTTATTTGTTGCAGGGTATGAGAATTCCTTCATATGATAATCAATTGCTCAACCTAGCTGAGGATTTAGCTAGGAGAATGTTACCTGCATTTGACACTCCAACAGGTATTGGAGCCACTGTGATAAACTTAATGTTAAGTTTATATCAAATTGGGTTCTCATATCAATTTTGTATTAAATTGTTGCTTATCACGCCTCCTAGGAATTCCGTTTGGCTCTGTCAATCTACTGTATGGCGTTGACGAACATGAAAGCAAGGTACTACCCATAGCTTTTTTTATTGCAATTGCATCATTTTAATGATTACTGTATTGCAACATTGTATTTGTGTCTTCATCATTTTCCACCTGTTGAAACTCTTTTATTTTCCAGTTGTTCCACCTTTGCATAGTTTATATGTCCCACTCCTGTACGCTGGTTTTATGCTCAGATAACATCAACTGCTGGTGGAGGGACTTTGACATTAGAATTCGGGGTGCTAAGTCGCTTGACAAACGATCCAAGTACGTATGTTTATGGAAGCAACAAAATTATTTGTTTAACGCCTTCCTATTGATCAGCATGGGTTACTCTATTTCATCTATTTCCTTGCTTAATCCCTTTTCTGGTGGAAACTCTCTTCCATGATATTGGTTTGCTAAGGAGTAGGCTATTGTTGCAGTCACTTTTAATTTGGATAATTGATATACTTATGGTTACCCGTATGCTCATGAAAGTGCAGTTTTTGAGCAAGTTACCAAAAATGCTGTTCGTGGGTTATGGGCACGTCGGTCAAGGTTGAACTTAGTTGGTGCTCATATAAACGTTTTTACCGGTGAATGGACACAAAAGGTAATTTTCCTCAGTCTCTGCCAAGATTATTTTCTCTCCAGTGTAGAACAAATGGGTGTGTGGAAAAGAAGAGGAATAACCCTGTGCATCCCATGAGCTAGGCCTTCTCTTTCATTTGCTAGAGCAGAACTATTTTTTTTGTCCACTTGGTCTATACTTGCAGCAAATTTTTCTTGTATTAAAGTTCCCTTCTATCATACTTTGCAGGGTGCTATTGCATGGCTCATTAAGTTCAAGTTTCTTTCTTGGCTTTGCAGGATGCTGGAATTGGAACTAGCATTGATTCCTTCTATGAATATCTCTTGAAGGTATCTTATCACACTGCAACTCTCTCCTGGGTTATGAATTTCACTGGATTAATAGTTCAGGGTGCACAATCTTCCTTTTGTCTTTCAGCCACCTACATTCCCTCGATGACGAAAATGGACACATGGGTGCTCTTAATAAACTTTTTAAAGCTCCTTATTTAAATTTTCTTTTAGGCTTATCTACTATTTGGCGATGAGGAGTATTTGTTCATTTTCCAAGAAGCATATGCTGCTGCTATGCAATATCTGTATAATGATCCTTGGTAAATCTTTTCGTTGTTTGTTTTAACTTTCAATCTCTCCTCACCCTCCATCTTCCTTCTGCTGTTCTTTATTTTCCCTAGCTATAACCAGAGCTGAATGCTAATGTTTGAAAGATGTGTAGGTATGTGGAGGTAAATATGGATTCTGCTGCGATTGTCTGGCCTTTGTTTAACAGCTTGCAGGCATTCTGGCCAGGCCTTCAGGTATGAAACAGTCTCTATTCTATGTTTTCAAACTCTAGTTAGCAATCAAACTGTTCTTTCATTCAAGTAAAACTGATTTACTACAAAGTTTAAACTTTGAAGGTGTTAGCAGGAGATATTGATCCAGCTGTCCGGACACATGCTGCATTTTTTAGTGTCTGGAAAAGATATGGTTTCACTCCTGAAGGTTTTAATCTAGCAACTCTGAATGTTCAGGTATTTAAATCTTCTATACCCAAAACTCAAGCATCAGTTTCTTCACATTTCAACTCGTCATCTTAAATTTTGGTAGGCTTTACTCTACGTCCTTCGTTCTAGCTTCTTGGGGCTGCTAGTTATTCCGAGAGAACCAATTAAATTCAAGCCTGTAACAGAAAATGTAGCTGTCACTTATTGATATTGTGGAGGTTAGGATGGTTGAATTTAACGTGATTAGGTATCTCCATTTGTTTCATTGGCCTTCTTATACTTAATGTTTTCTTGTGTGGGATTGTTATTCATGATGTTGCACTATGTCAAACGTTGATCCCTTTAGTGAAAAAAAGGGTTGAGCATAATTCTAAATGTGGTGCCTCAGGAGTCAGGTGCTTGTAAGGTGATCTAGTTGACTGGGTTGCTCCTCCTGAAAGAGTTGCTAATTAGGCTAAAGGGAATAGATTACTACAGTGATGAGATGGAAAGAAATAAATGAAATGTTAATAATATTTTGATTGATTTATGAGTTTTTTTTACATCATGTACTTTTCACCTCGAGCCTTTAACAAGACTGATGTCTACATGTTCATATTCTCATTCTATAGAGCGGGCAGAAGAGCTATCCATTGCGGCCAGAGTTGATAGAAAGTACATACTGGCTCTTCAAAGCTACCAGAGATCCCAGGTCAGCTTAGATTTTGAATCCGTAATTTCTACTTTTCATTTTATTGTGTATTAAGAATTCCACAATTTAGAATCCTGCTTTGTGTGGACTGTGGGCGAAATAAGAAATAGAATATTTGCGATGCTGGGGTATCTTTACTACTTAAAGTCGGCTAAAAGTCTTTTGCGAGTTATAATCTTCCTCTTTGAGGAAATCGTTAATTCGAAAGTCAAATGGTGGAAGTCTTAGATCTGTTTTTGGCATAGTTGCTCCAAAAGATTAGGTTGTTTATAACCCATCGTTGAATGAAGCTACTGGACATATCGATAGGCTGCCGTATCTGATTGATCAGTCACTCCCTGTTGCGATTCACAGATTGGATTTCACATCCTTCCTCTTTTTCCTTAATTATTGAATCAATCAATGTTTACTCCCTACAGATATCTTGATGTGGGAAGGGACATGATTGCTAGTCTGCAGTATGGGGCTAGGTGCCCTTGTGGATATTGTCATATTACAGATGTGGAGTCGCACCAGATAGAGGATCACATGGAGAGCTTCTTCTTAGCCGAAACAGTAAGGATACAGTATTTAACTGGTCTCTTTCAATGTAATATATTTTGGAGTCCATTTCATGCATCTGGATTGCACATGGATAGATGCCTCTACTTTCATGACCATGAGGTTGGAGGATGGTGAAGGAAACAAGAGCTCAAGTTGATATAGTAGCCCAAATGAACTTTTGTTAAAATTGGTGCATGAAATTTGGCAGTGTATTCATGCTGCTTGCCTGCTTCACCTTACTGCCTGTATTAACATGTCATATAATGGCAGGTCAAGTATCTCTGGCTTCTTTTCGACTTGGCTTCTGGTCCAGACAACCTTGTTGAAAATGGGCCTTATAAGTAAGTGGCTTTCTGATAGTCCCAACACATCTGGAATAATGCTTTGTTCTATCAGAAACTGTTGCTAAAATGATTTAACTATATAACAGGTACATCTTTAGCACGGAAGGCCACTTATTGCCCGCAACCCCACAAATATCCCTAGCGAGGGAGCATTGTTCCTATTTTGGTGCATACTGTAAAAAAAGCAGTGATACCAAACAAGAAAGTTGTAGTAAATCTGAAGCATCAATGAATTTCCAAGAAGCAGCTAATGCCAGTAGTACATCATCCTACGGTAGCTGGGTTCACAGAGGATATTCGTCATCAGATTCCTCTTTTCTTGAGTCGATTAATCCTTCAGGTTTGATAAAGGTGAGCTAGATTTCTCCCATATCCCATCCCTTCGGCTTTTACCCTTTCCCCACAAGGTTTTTCTGTTTCATTCTCTTATTCATGTAATTTCCCTTGCCTGTTACTACCGCAGGGAGTTTGCCCTGGACTAAGTCACGGGCAGAGGTATGGCATCTCATACGTAGCATCAACCGAAACGATTCACACTCAGAGCAGCAGTCCTTCACCGGAAGACAAAAGAGAGAATAATGCTGCTGAGAACCCTCCTCTTGTTCTGGTTTCTGATATCCGTGCTATTAATGCCATGACTTTCGGGGGTAATGATCATCATGATCAGAAATCAAGCCGGGAGGAGTTAGAATGAACAGTCTTTTTTCACGAACGCCAAAGGTCCTGAAAGGGCGGTGTTCACAGCATTGTCCCCTGCTTGCCAGTTTCGGTGGAGAGAAACTAGAGATTGTCATCATACCTTTACACACCCGCTTGCTTTTCGCCCAAGGAAAAGAAACGGGGTGCTGTAAAGAGTGCCTATCGAGCAAATTTACAGGTGATTGAAGGATTCTTTGAGGCCAGGGAAGAAGTTCGACGCCCCCCCGAAACAGGAATACAACACTTTGCTCATTACTTTGTCATTGAGGTTGAGGGACAGCAGAGGAGAATGAGGGGAGCAACTTTCTTGCTGAGCATTAGTCATGGATGAAGGCTGTACCATTTTTGTACATTAAATGGTGAAACAGTAGTCGAATTGTATTTAGCCGGTTAGTGGTGAACTGTTTATTATCTTAGCGTAGCCACCACACTCGGCAAATGAAAGAAAGAATGCTGTACAATTGGTAGGCGTGAGAAATGGGGAAAATGTAAACTGCATTAGAGACCCAAATAAGTGAACTTCTGTTCCTCCCTGAAAAAATTTGGCGCGTATTTTTGTCCTCTTGGCCGGTCGGACCGGAAGACCCAAAATGATGGGCTTTTTACAGCATGCAGAAGCAGGGTTCTAATTTGGGCTGGGTTTAGGGAAATTGAAACAGAAACAAGAAGGGTTGTGGGTCGAGGAGTGAAAGAGGGTAACATTATAGAACAGGCCCAAATAGGCAAATATGATAGAACGGGGGAGAGAAATGGGTAGGGGACGCTTTGTTCCCAAATTAGAATGAAGAGGGAAATGGAGGAAAGAGTATTTGAATTGAGTGGACGGACGGATCCCACCATTGTTTCGCGCCATTGTCGAACAGGGTTCCGCGACTCCGTCTAGACTACACCCCGTGTTTGTGAAATTGATTACCGCTCCGGAGACGCTCCTTCACCGTTGGCGATCATCTGAAATACGGATCATAGTCGCGTACTCATCAACCTCTGCGGATTGAGCGCGAACCCAGGTGATCACAACCTGTTCGATGAATTTCCCGACTGAAACTCCCGCAGCTGCGCTGCAACCCTCATTTGCGAACCCGATTTTCTCACCTTTTACAAGCATGCCAGGAGCGTCAGTTCCCGCGGCTGAATTCTTAATATTGGGGATTAGCTGCTCTATTGGTGGACCGCTGGTGTGGTGTGTGGTGATCATGTCTCTGCTCATTACGGTTTCCGAACCTAGAACATCAATGGGAAGCTTGAATTTGGAAATGTAGACTAGTGGTGTTTTCAGTCTGAAGCGTTGCTGGTGGGGGAAGTTGATTTTCCAAGAATGATATGAAGATCAGGATTCAGAGTAAGTTTTTCGACCATGTTTTCAATTTGCAGCATGTGCAAGATATTGCGATCGAAGCAAGTTAGATTCCTGCACCGATTTCAACTAAACTCTTTGATTCCTAGGCGCGAGACAAAACTTGTAAGTACTTCCAAACGACTTGCGTGGAGGAACAGCTAAGTTCTTTCTGCCGATTGAACATGCCGAATGACAACATAGGAGGTGAGCCGTACTGCAGACTTCAGTTTCCCCACTTTATAGAGACCATTTATTATGTGCACTGTTGTTGAATGGAGTTGAATATGATGTGTTGTTCTAGCGGGAAATGATATACCTACGCTCATTGAAAGGTATTCAATCGTATTTTGGTTATGCAGGATTCTGAATGCACAATATACGGAATGAATTAAAAAGTCAATTAGCTGACTAGGGATTGGCATGGCATCCTATGCAAGAACAAAACCACATGGCTGAGATGAAACTGAAAGCCCCGAATTAAAGCAACTTCAAAACCATTCTAAGATCAAGATGTATAAGACTGACTTCTCTGACTTTAATTGCTCACTATATCCTACTAGTTGGTGGGTATAACTTAGCATATAGATGCATTTAATATTCTAGGATGATCTTTGACCCCTGGTATGAGGAACCTTCTTATAACTGCCTGTGGGATTGCAGCCTTCCTTGATGTCTAAACAACCCAAGATAGACCAGCAACAGTGTATTTGACTGCTGAAGTTATGTCTTGGGCCGATTCTAAGCCTGAGTTGTGAGAGCCATTGAACCTGTCGTTTATGGCTCTAATTGGGTAGCTAAACAACTGCAGTTTTTGTTTTTTTGGTCAAAGTCATGAGTTGGATGGCCCCAACTTAATGAACTGGCCATGACTGCTAATGAGCTGCATTACAGTTATCAAACTGCACCCTCCTGAATGATGATAATGTTTGAGAATCAGCAAAATGGTCTAACGTTTTGATTGATACCGACAGCCATATCAAAACGCAAAATCGACTAGAATTTGAACTGTGGAATCATGTCAGATCTTGTTTCCTGCTACTTTTCTATGATTTATTTAGTTGCCACTAGACAAAGTAACGTATGAAAAAAATAATGATTTTCTATACTTGAAAGTTTCACAGTAGTTTGTCTCCAAACCTGCAGGAACATCACTGCTGATGGAACAGCTGCCCGAATCCAAAGCCCTTCCGTTTGGCGACCGCAATTCCAGAGGTACTCTGAACATTTTGAATCAACTTGTCTCATAGTAAGTCCTCGTCGACTTTGCTTCTTTATTTCACGAGGGGGCATGGAAAAGTTAAATTGGCTAACAGAGGGAAGTTTCTGGCATTTGTTTGCCATTACCAAAACAATCTCAAGTCCTTTTTGCAATAAGATCTTACTATTAATTATGAGTTAAGGTGGGTGGAGTGGAGGGTTTACTTTTTTGGCATGTGGTTATCAACTGATCACACTTTAGCCGAAAGAATAACCAAGAAAATCACTGTTTGCCAAGCCCCAGAAATTTCCTCTTTGCTCGATGAGATTATACATCCCACCTAATTATAAAAAGTATACAGATATTTGGTAACAGTGAGAAGGCCGAACCAATAAGCTATTGCATAGTATAGAGCCACTAGTAAGAAATTAGGTTAACCTCTTTTTATCACAAAACCCCACCTCTTTCAGCTGCGGGGCACTATCTTAATTCTTAACAGTGACCTTAATACTTTGTTTGCCACTACCATGCCTTGGTAGAACCGCTGTGTAACCAGTAACAGATGTTTTCTAATTTCAAAATGCTACAGAGTCATCCTTGTTACTCTTTCTCTTTTCATTGGATGCTTCCACACTTTTTATCTTTGGAAAAAAAAGGTGATAAATCTTCTCAGGTCAGATAAAGCTAGCATGTGTGCTGTTTTGTGATGAAACTTTGGTACTATTGGTTGACAATTAAATAGGCTATCTCTCAGAGGAATTTGTTTTGATGCTCATAGCTACATATTCATGACAAAAACCACACTTTCGCCCAATTGATAAATAACGTTTCGATTAGACCTTGTGTATGAGAATTCGACTATCCTGCTAAATGTGATTATGTGGACTCAGCTTTCTGTTTCTGAACTAAAATTAGTACATTTGTATCTTGTTTTAATAATTTTTATACCATAGAAGAGGTCCGAACCAAAACCTGGTACAAAGAACAGAGTTCTGAACTTTATCTTTTTGGGTTTGGTTGAAGTGGTCCGTGCAAGAAATCTACGGGTCTGTTGTTTCTTCTTTGCTATTGACTATGGAGTAACCAGAAAAAGTTCAGTCTCTCCTTTCTCTTTTCCCAGAACACTGTATTTTATAATTTATCCTGGGCAATGTGCATTCTTTTGGCCTTCACCTTTCCCAACATGGAGTTACTTGCTTGTCGATTTATGCTACGCTAAAGAAAAACAAAAAGTGGCAAAAGATGTGAAATGTGAATACTATACTTGAATACTCAACTTTTTACCACCTGAGATTCGAAGAAAGTTAAAAAGTAAAACAGTTACTGCTACTTTCCCATTTACCTTTCTGATGAAATAACCAGCAAGTACTTTCTTGCTCTCCTACTCACTCACTGACAGTTCACATCACATCCAGTTCTGAAATTCAAGCCTCCCCTGACTGACAGAGCCCTGTGGGAAAACTCTGAAAACCATGTAGTAACTTGCTGGATGACTTAGAATTGTTTGAATATTTATGAGTCATGACAGCAGACCAGAAGTGATACTGTAATTCTTTCTGAAAATGGGATCTTGAATAATTCTATGATCTTAAACGGTGGAGGGAATAGAAAGAGAGAGATTAACATAGAAGACAATAGAGTACCTTCATTTCTGTGTAAGTTCATTACCTGCTTCTGAAATGGTTACCCAGTTGAACTGTCAATCAATGAACAAACAGATGTGTTATGTTAGGGTTTTGAATTTATTTCCCATAATTTGAAGTGTAGAATCATCATGCTTCTACAGTTGCGTGAAGTCTCCCATCTATCTCCTCTCTTGCTTCAAAGAAGGAACTTATGAACCATCTAAAACCAAGTAACTTGTGGTGCGACTTTCCTTTCTTTCTTTCTTTCTTTCCTCTTGATGTTAATTAGTTGTTGCTAGCTGTCTGGTATGTTTGTTGAATGATTGTAATTATGTAGTGGCAGTTAAACCCTGAAAAATTTCGGTTGGCGTTTATGTGCTAGCTGTCTGGTATAGTTTAGTTTCCTTATGTGCACCAATTCCTCAAAAGTCAGAAGCAAGAACTCGCATGGATTTACAAGGTGGAAGTGGACAATATATAAAAGTTAAAGATTTGCCTGGAAAATCATAACAAACAGTGGTGTATTGAATTTGTAAGGCCGTGTGTATCTCATAACCAAAAAAACTTGTTGGCGTTCTTGTGTTTCTTTCTTTCCTATTCACATACTGATTTACACGATCTGCATCTAAAGTAACTGAAGCAAAAAACAGCTTCACATGTGAAATTTCAGAACTTTCATGAACACACATCACAAAATAGCACCCACGTACAGGGGTGCCCAAAACCACCACCATCTGTAAATCTTAGCTTGTTTTCCCCCCTTCTTACATACTCTTAAAGAAGAAACCGCAACTTCCAATTTCACACTGATGCCTCAAGTTTTCCTGCTACTTTGTGCAACTGCAGAGATCTAGCAGCTCCCGGCGGGGATGGGGGTTAGAATTTTGATGAGTTCCCTGTCATGGCGAAACCTGGCCAGGCTGAAAGAGCTCTCTATAAGACTTCCTTGGGTAAGAAATGCATATCTTGCCCTTTCTCTACCTGTGGGTTTGCTATGCTGTGGTTACAGCTTGACTGGGAATTTTTCAAACACCACAACCCAACCCTCTTGCTTCCGATCCTTTCATGATTCTCAGCCTTTTACAGGATGACATGAACATGCTGCAATAGAAGAAATCAAATTTTCATTAGTACATATTCACAGAGAGAATAATATCAGAACCAGGAGAAAGGCGGTCCACAGTGAAAGGCAAAAGAAAAGGAAAAAAAAGGAACTTACTCCCATGGCACATCTCCAACAAGCATCCAGTCCCCATCTTTGTCTTCATAAGTTGGTACGTACTCAGATCCTTTGTAGCCTTCTCTTTCAGAGTAGACACCGGCAGCAAACTTGAACATGGCTTCCAATGCTTTAAGGAGTTCAGGGTAGTCTCTGTACACCTTAAGATCAATCTTCCTTAGATACGGTGCACCATCCATGCTTACTTTCACGTACATCCCACTAGCTTCACCTTCACTGTTCTTTGCCTGCAAGCTGTTCTTTCTGTAAGATCTGATTGGTGGCCACCCAACAATCTGTGCCCTGCATAACATTCAATAACAGATCATTAGCAAACAGGGAGAAAAAAAGCCTGAAAAGAATCTGAAAGTCAACCTAGAAATCTAGAGTGTTTTGTATGAATGAATGACTTACTTGGCAGCAGGGGCAGTACTTCCTCTGTCTGCAGCCTTATGGGCTTGGCTCTCTTCTTCATTCGTCTCAGGAGTAGGCATAGGTCGCTTGTTATTGTTTCTAACACCACCTTGCCCTTCAGTTTCTCCTGACCCTGGCAATCCAAGCGTAAGCTCGGTTGCCTTGAAGTTCAAGCCGTTCTCATATGCAACACCACCTTCCATTTCTTCTCAACTGACTTAGCAAGTCGCTGTGTAAGAATCAGAATTCTTCTGATAGAGTATAACTATGGTTTAGGTCCTTTTTTTCTTCTGGGTTCTGTTTTGGTTGCAGAGGGGGGATGGAGGAAAGATGTGTTTGTTTTCTTCTGGTGAGGTGAGAATGGGGAGGAGTGTATTTTATAGACTTGGTAGTATATATGGTGAGTCGTGGAATAATAAGAAGGAGAAAGGTAGGAGCTGGAAGAGGAGAATTTGGCTTGTGGGTGCCTCTAACACAAACGAACGCATGAATTATGGACAAAGGCAAGCTAAAGCTGTCGGTAGCAATAGCGGCACATTTGAGGCACCTTGTCCATGCAGTCAGGGGACAAGACTGGGACAAGCACAGCCGCCCATATGGACAAAACTCACAAGAAATCTATTTATATATTCACCTTTTTCTTTAAGTGGTTCTGTTTCTTTATTTTTTTGTTTTCTAAAAAAAGTGGGAACGGTTCAGATGAGTTTTCAGAGGGAAATCAGGACCGTTGGCTGGGTTAGTTGAGAAGGGCAAAGGTTAGGAAAGGTTGAAGGATTGGAAGGGGAACATATCCATGTGGGTCATGGGTCCCACATGGCTGTTGGTTATGGGCCATAGAATGGGCCATGTTTGGAGGACTAACTAGAATTTGGAACATAGAGGGCAGTGAATGTATTACTAGTGTTTTGAAATATTTGGAGTACATTACATGTGGTAGACATGTGTGGTGTGGTCAGCCCATTGATTCATCCTCATCCCATGTCTATGCAGCTGCGAGTAAGATATAAACCACATCTCTTGCTTTGTGTTTGTCGATTATCCCCAAATAGGATTAGCCCATAATGTAAGGTACTCCTGAGTCCCGAAGCTGAATCCTGAGTTTATTATTTTATTTTTATATATAGGAATGCAAAACCATGCATGTATATATTCCCAGTCCTAATGCTCTAATTAATGACCAAAACATGGTAATTAATGAGCATCTGACCCTGAACATGAGACCCGGTCTTTTGTCCATGCTTCCAATTTCATCAGGACCACTAGTATATTAGCTTCGGGCAATTTATATCAGGGTGATAACCCCAGACTCAGAATTATTAGAAGAGTAAAAGTCTGAAACTTTTTGTCTCTGTTTATTATAACTTGTAGAGTTAATACCGTGAGAAGGTGATACTAATTCTAACTGGGAAGTACTCTGTTTAGAAGTAGCAGAGTTCCAAGTTGCTCAGTACATTGGCTAGAGTTACTTAATTAGCACTCTATTTTTATTAGGTTACTTAATTAGCTCTTTTTTTTTTATAAGGACGATTGATACTATTCAAGAGTTTTATGCACCAACTGGTTGATGACGTGAATCGTACACACTTAGTAAGCACTCTTGACTAAATAGTAAACTGTAACAAACCACAGTTTGTTAGCTGCCAAGTAACTAAGGAGATGATGAAAGTTTAAAACAACGTAGGTGCTTTCCTTCTTTTCATTATTGTTAATGGTGACTGGATTTTCTTTGTTGAGAAACCATTTGTGCCTTCACTGTAATAATCAAACTGTTTGGTGAATCGGTGAGTAACTCGAGCAGGAGATTTTGGAAAGAAGCAAGCAACATGATGAGAGATTATCTGTCCTTTACTTCTTTCCCATATTGGCCTTTAGGTGTAGTTATTATGAGGGTGAGTCCCACCTTTGTTCAGTGGTCTCGATTGGGCATAGGATGCTCATTTCCAAAAACTCCACACCCACCACTATCAATTATCAACTCCATCAATTCAGTGTCCCATACATAAAGAGTAAAGACCATCCTCTGTTTCTCCACCCGTGCGTCATAAAAAAGTTGCTCAATTATTATCAAACTACTGCTCAGTACCCATCATCAACCCTTGTTTATGTTTGTACATATCTTCAAGCTCAATATAGCACTATCATACATATCTTCAAGATCCATATAGTACTTTGGTAAAAACTACAAAAAACCTTCCCTGCTGCAGAACAATTTTGCTTTTCTGCTTTTTTTCTTCATTCTAGCAATGAATTCCATTTATATCGCAGCCAACTGTTTACTGTTTAGCTTTGTTTCATTTGAGTCGAATATTTTGCTTATGGTTATTGTGAGAACAACTTTGTAACAAGCGACGCATTGCATGCAACTTGGCGAATCATCTAAGTTGGTTATATTGCTTGATTACCGGAGCCTAATAAATCAACTGTTTTTGGAATTCGAAACTGTCTATACACTTAACCTTCCCCTGCATATGCCAGAAAATGCACTGACAAAACTTTCATAAAATAATGGGTCCGGCTTGTATCGAAGTCTGTTTTAGGAGCAGCATTTATAGGAACTATAAACTATTATGCCAGATTACAGCTATCGAGACTGAGATACAATGCACTGTGATATACACTTCATAGTTCATGAAGCATGCACTGTGCCTTGTGTGGTTCAATGTTTTATGTGGGGAGAAAAACTGAACTTGGACCAACTGTTAATTGATTTCTCCTCTTTGATGTCAACTCAATCATCATGCTCATTTCTATTCTAATTGTTGCACGTTCAGTTAAAAGCTGCTGGTGTTTCTAATCAGGTGCAAATTACTATTAACAAAACCTCAGAAAGTTTAACTTGGTACTAACTTGTCGAACAGGTGTCTTCCCTTGATTGTGCTAGATTACCTTGATGTTTTGTCTTTATCAGCCCAGCTATGTCCCAGCAAGAAGATTCATGATCATGAAATCCTGGAGGGGTTCGTTAAATTTTGTGGTGCAAGACCATTGTATGTATGGATAACCTTGATTGCTAAAGGAAATGGATCAGCTTTGAACTACTGCTACAGGTGCGGCCATTAGCTTCATTGGTTTTGGCATCTGGTCATTGATGAGGACACACAGACTGCACGATAGCGATACATAACAAACTCGGAACATAATTTTGCGCCGTATGGTGTGTATCGTTTTGATCCACTTGAATCTTTTCCAGGTTGGATATGCGAAAGCTGATTGATAGGACTCATCAAGGGAGCAGAATTTTCGAGTTGGCATGTCCGTCAGGTTTGGCCATGGGAATGTTAATCTTTAAGGGGTTTGACTGGGTTATACTGCATACAGGGCAGTTCTGTAATTTCTGGTAATATGTTCGGTTTCCAGGACTTAGAAGAATACATGTGGCTGTGAGAGTCTAAGAGATCGTGGAATTCATGTCAGTGCTGGGAAAGGAAGGGGTGAAATTCTGTAAGTTATTGTTAATCTTACCTGCTGTTTTCATTCTTGTTCGCTTATTACCATTATTTCTTTTTTTAATGTGTCTGTCGTGTATTGTAGAGTTGACCTTCACTATTACTAGTCCACACTTGGCACAAATAAAAGTCAAATTTGGTTAGCTTTCACAACATTTTCAGGTAATCAGCTTTCACATTATCTAAAATGAGTTTTCGCTTTTATAAGTGATGTTCTAACTATTCAAATTATTGAAAAGAATCGATTATCGGAATTTTTATAGTATAAAAAAGTCTCGTCCTTAGATCTTGATAACTAGCCATAAGTTAACCACAAATTATGTCAAGTAAAAACATAAAAGAAAATATAAAATTCATTATTGTGTCTCTATACTGAATTTTCGAGATTTGGTTGTTGATACAAAGGAGACCTACATATATACTATAGTTGGAAGCACAAACAAAACATCTGCACACATTCCTTTTCTCTTGTTCATTTCTTTTATCTAAAGCATATAGCAGCAGCATAATCATTCATGTCCATATATTTTAGATAGATTATAGATACTTTAGACAGAGAGCAACCAGGTAGATGCTAAGAACATCACTTTTACATGCCCAATACAGCCTAGATGTTCTTCAATTGAGATACAACATCTGCCCTTTCCAGATGAGCTCTGGCTGGCTGGCTGCCCTGCCCACTTCTAATAGGAGCATAGATCCAAAATTTGATTTCAGGTCTGGACAAATGTTGATTAGGTAGAGTTAAGCATAACAGTAAACCATCCCAGATTGATTTAAGACATCTAAGTAAACCATTACAGAAGAGGGCAGAGCACAATTATGATTTATGTTGTTGTTATTACTATTATTCTAGTCTGGGTCCAAAAGGAACCAAGCCACCACAGAGAATTGAAACAGTCCAAAACAATGAGCTAGCGCCATATGATGTTCTAGCTAGACATGCCAACCCTTTTTTTTTATCTCTGAACCAGAAGCAGCTTAGCCATTCCTAATAATTATAGGGCTAGAGTAGCTTTCTTTGCATTAAAATCCGTGGGGGTTGTGTCATTAAAATTTAGCTTTGAGCAATCCATTCGCAAAAAGCAGGACCACCCTTTTCTTGCTGCTGCCAGAAAAGCCTTCAATTTGGCGCATATCGTATCTGTTATGTTCTGTATTGTTGTGCTTCAATTCTGATCCAACCTGTCCTCTTCAACTTTGTAAATTTGCCCTTCTCTCTCTTGATAAGAAATCAACTCCCTACTCATTAATTGCGTTTTTCTTATAACGACTTGTGTGACCTTCCAAAGTTTGGATTAACAACCAGCTGGAATGTTTGAGCAGGTTGGGTGATGAGCAAGCAAGCAACATGCCGGGTTACAAATGCTTCCTATTAGCTTGTTGAACAAGTAAAAAAGCAGGTGTTCGATTGAGAATTTCGCTGGCATGGCATGACACGGTGGTGCAAGCTAGTTCCTGCGTGGGTGGTGTTTAGGGATGGTCGGGAATTGCAAGTTAGGTTCCAAGAAGAACCCAACTGTACGTGTTTGTTATAGAGAAAGAAAGCGCGTTCCTTTTCACTTTCCCTGTCCTTTATTTTTCATCAACCATTTATATATTTTTTTCCTCCTGTTTGAACAGACAAGAAGATATTAGAGACAGAAGCCATTAAACGCCCGATGGGAAGCATCATGGGCACATGCACGTGTGGGCACCAAAAGAAAGAAAGAAGGCAAGAAACATCTCATCATCTAACAAACCAACAGGAACCAGCAAGCAAGCAAGCAGGCATTGATGGAGAAAAGTAGCAGTACTACTGCTGTAGTGGTAGCGATGGGATGAGATGGAAAGAAGCTGCCTACTGGTCTGGTCTGGTTGGCAGCTGATCGATCAGCTTTGGCAATTATTGTTTGACATTGTCTTTTGTTTGCTTTTTTTTTTGCAGGGGATTAATTAATATATACGTGGAGTAGGAAGAGATGGGAAATGTTTGAACGCGGGGCAGCCACGTCTTTGCAGGTAAAGCCATTCATGGGGGATTGAATGAATTTTTGTGGGCATATATGGCTGTGCATGGCTTCATTTAGTTTCAGTCATGGAGGTAGAGGGGACGTTTTGTGGGTTCGTCGTTTGTCTCTCCTATCCTCTCTGTAGAGAAGGAGAGGAATTGAAGGTGCTTGTTAGGATAGGATAGTGATGCCCCATGAATGGTTGTGCTATGTGTTCTGTAGCAAAACTTTGGGGGACTTGTTTTGGCAAAGGGAAGGAAGATGACCCACTGCCTTTCGTCAAGTACTCCTGATCTCTCCCGCCTCTTATGGCGAGGCAGAAATCAGGGCTTATGGGCCCAAATGAGTTGTGTTAGTCGTATGAGTGGGCCTTCCGCAGCCCCACTCGTATTAGTAGTATACAGACCGTATAGTAGTTGGCCCATATGCATAGGGGTGATAAACGGTTATGCCGTTAACGGTTTTAATCACTAACTGCATTGCTAACCGACAGTTAATGGTTAAACCGTTAACCGCTAAGGAAAATGCGGGTCGTTTAACGAAAGCTCGAAATCTCTTATCGGGTTATCTAGTCATAAGCAGTTAAATAACCGACGGTTAGTGGTTAACCGATTAATAATCGATAAAAGTTGTTTTATTTTTAATCAACCGTTTGTGATGCAGCAATTAAAAAGATCATAATCCATCTTGATTAACAAAGCATATTAATATCTTAGTTGAAGATAGTGCATATCATGATTATGTAAAACTAACTGTAGAAGTATAATCAACATTTAGAGCATATTAATAAGCACAGTAAAACAATAATAGAGGGTAATTCCCAAAATATGGGATCAACTATAACCAAAACCAATGCCCAGTAATTGAAAGAAGTGTTTATTATCATGGAAACGTAATATTGCATATCATCCCTTTTGTACTATAAGTAAAAAAGAGTATGCTTTTCCTCTCGCGTGTCAATAAATAATACTACTTTTATACTGTAATTCTATGAAGCAGATTTAATTGGTGGCGAGAGGGAGGGAGAGAGATCATCCAAACGGTTGATTAAAGAAAGAACAAACATTGTCGGAGAGGGAGAGGGTTCGTTTGGGAAACAAAGTTGGGGATGATTGCCAGATGAGAACGAGAATCATTAAAAAAAATTAAAATTTCTTATCGAGTTACCAAATCATAAACAGTTAATAAACGATGTTTAGTGGTGGTTCAAATTCACAAACCTACCACCACTTTCTTTTTCAAGCGAATAGGCGGTTAATTGCTAAAATAATTGCTAACCGCCTCGACGGTTAACGGTTAACCGCTAAGTTTTGGCGGGTCGGCTAACGGTATTGATTTTTCGGTTTGCGGATAACCGCTAACTGCATTTGCATTAGTAATATACATACCTATTAGTAGAGGGCTAGCGATTTTTAAATTTTAATCACAACATGGTAGGGTGAGAATTCGATTGCGGTTTTGCGATTAAACCGCTAATCGCACAGAAACTGCACGGTTACTGGTTAGCTGCAACCGAAAGTAGCTTATTTTGAGGTTGTGGTTAGAAATATTGCATGTTTTGCTATTTGCGGTTTAACCACAACCAAATAACAGGTAACCGCAATTTAATCGAATATTGACGTGGTTAACCATGATTAATCGTGATCCGGTGGCCCTTATCCATCCTCCCGCACTGGCGGTACAACTCACAACTCAAAGTTTACACAACTCATCAGAATAATTATTGATGAGGTTAGCCACGGTTAATCGTTAATGATGTAACCAAATAACAGGTAACCACAATATAATCGATTATTAATGCAGTTAACCGTGGTTAATCGTAATCTGGTGGCCCTTATTCATCCTCCCGCACCGGCATTACACCTCACAACCCAAAATTTTCGCAACTCATCATAATAATTATTGATGAGGTTAGTCGTGGTTAATCTTTAATGATGTAATTTCGGCCGCCAACAAATTAGAGAAGACCCGCCCAGAATTGGATAAATTTCCCTGACTAGGGTTTGATGAGAAGGACTGGGGAGTATGGACAGAATACCCCCGATCAGGTGGGTAAAATCCCCGACCGGGTATTGTGACTGGGTATTTAGACCAGGGATTTTGCGCTCACGAGTTTTGATATCTTTTTCGTTTAGAATTCTTTTCCTTTTTGTGTATACATTAGTTTATTTATCCTGGCCTATTTAAAGGGTTGTAAAAAATGAATTTGAGGAGATTATTGAGACTTTGATTATTTGAAAAAACCCTTTGTTCATAGAGTTTTCACTCTTAAATTTTATCCTTGTTTGTTGGTCGATATTCGGCATTCGAGCGAACTTTGTATCAATCAAGTACCCACCTTGATTTTAGTTGAGTTGCTACCCATTATTTTGTTCGAGCATCTTCCCGATTTTGTGTTGAAAATGCACGTCATTTCTGCCATATCCCTTACTTTTTGAGTTGTTGGGAGAAAATTCAGAAAAAATCCTAAAAAGATTGAAATTGCGTGACTTTGACAAAAGAACCTAAACTTTCACGAGTTTGGGATCTTATCGGTTAACCTCATTTTGTGGTTAGTGATTAATCGCTAACTGTTTGCGATGTTGTTGGTATATATGGCTCTATTGCGATGTTGTTGGTATATATGGCTCTATTTAGGTAGAGATATTGTAGAGAGATAAGTGTTATGTGAAAAATGAGTAAGAGAAGAAGAGCCCCTTTACTTGAAAGACCTAAGAGTCTATTTATAGGTCAAGCCTTCTCATCCTTTATTGGGCTTCCATTGGATCTTTGTAGTGTTTTGTGGGCTTGGGCCCATCTGCACTTGTGGATTGTCGTTGTTGTTCGAGTTGGGCCTTGTCGTATTTACGGGTCCAACAATTGTCCCCCAGTTAGGTATCAAGTAGTATACTAGATGCCTAACTAAAATTGTTCAAGTTGTCACGTCATTTTTATTTTGCTTCTGGCGCATGACGAGTATGTGCTCCTTGTCCCCCGGCTAGCTGATCCATGTCCCCCATGATCATAATAGCTTGAGAACTTGGAGCAAGAACCATGTAGAGAAAGAGCAATGTAACATAATGTGACTCGTCACATGGTTAGCGATATAACTCAAGCCATGAGAGAAAAATAGTGATTACACATCTGATGTCTAACAAGACTATGACATTTTCGACGCATATTTGAAGATTTGTTTTCCTTAGAAAAATACTGAATGTGCATGCACATGTTATTCCCAATTGTCCCCCAGTTAGGCGTCCAGTGGTGCACTGGACGACTAACTAATGTCTCCCCTGTCAATTTTCATGTAAGGTCTTTTAGTGTTTTGTCCCCCAGTTCATGTCCCCCACACCATATTAATTACACAGAGAAAGGATCACAAATATAATAAGTGATGCAACATAACTTGACACATACAATAACTAGGAATATGACACGAGTAGTGATAGACAACCCTTAGCTTATTTCTTGATATGTCTCATTGGGGACTAGCATGGAGCGCCTCGGCAATAAGCCATTGGTGGCTTAATTTGAAAGTAATGTTGCCTTGGTCGCTAGAAATGCCCCCACTATGACTGACATAGGCTTATAAGTATAGGCGCTTTCCCTCGTGTATTAAAAGCTTGCACCGTAGCTTTTTGGTAGAATGGCGGACTGTTGTTGACTTGCTGCTAGTGTTATTAGGCGTTTAGCTTAGGAGTAGTTATAAATCAAACGCCTATTATTTCTCTTGTCATGTAGTTGACCTTATGTTCCTAACCATGCGCCTATTCTTTTGGTTCTCCTCCAAAGCTCCATTTTCCTTTTTTGTTTGGCCTCTCACCAATAGTTATGCACGCCTATATATTTTCTTTTAGTTGTTCCTAGCTCTTAACGAGTTGACTTGGCACCATCCTTCATTTTGAGTGAGGATGTATTCCCTGTATTTCAAGTGTACTTCACATGCTTGGCACACCGTTAAAAAAGGCTGGCTCCTCGACGTGCTTCCTTGTGCATTTCTAACCATTGCCCATGAATTTTGTGGGAGCTCAAGCCAACGTGCCTTGAATAATAGGGCGCACTCTCCGAATATAGCGTCTGAAGCCAACCCATGTAAGACATCTCATAGGAATTTTAACATGGTGCCTCTTTCTTGCCTTCCTTTCTTTCTTCATGTACAAAACACTATATCCTCTATAATGTTTATATTTATTTCCCTTTCTTTCTCTATCAGCATAGTGCCTTTTTCATGCTTTCATTTTTTCCAGGCAATTAATGGGCATCCCACAAGAGCCTTAATACTAGGCGCAACTCTTGTGACTCTTTGAAGTTGAGCCATTAGGCCCTCACATACATAGACTTCAAACACTACTTAATTTTACGATTTACGGGCGCCCAGGGTATCGCATGCGCTTTAATTTCATAGCCGCATGGTGTATTTTCCAATCAAGGCATTACCTTTGAACGCATAGATAACTTCCAATTCATGGTGCTATGTGTAAGTGCGGAGTGTATATCCAACTGAGGGCGCCATATTTAAGTATGTAGATCATTCTCAGGTACATGCGCTATGCTTAGGCGTTGTGTATATGCCAACCAAGAGTACTATATTTGAGCGTAGAGTATTTCCAACCACAAACATTACCTTTGGGCGTATAAAGTATGCTAGTGACGGGTGCTAGCTTTGGGCACAGAGAGTATTTCCAACTACGGGAGCTATACTTGGGCGCGAAGAGTATTTCCAACCAAGGGCGCTAATTTGGGCGCGGAGAGTATTTCAAACCACGGGCGCTAAATTTGGGCGCGGAGAGTGTTCCCGACCATGGGCGCTATATTTAGGCGCGGAGAGTATTTCAAACTACGGGCGCTAAATTTGGGCGCGGAGAGTGTTCCCGACCATGGGTGCTATATTTAGGCGCGGAGAGTATTTCAAACCACGGGCGCTAAATTTGGGCGCGAAGAGTGTTCCCGACCATGGGCGCTATATTTAGGCGCGAAGAGTATTTCTAACCACGAAAGTTAAATATGAGCACATAGAGTATTTCAAGCCAAGTACGCTATATTTAGGCACGAAGAGTATTACTTCCTAATGATGCTATGCTTATGTGTCGAGACTATTCCCAAACAAAGGCATTATTTCTCTCACGTAAAATTAAATTTCTAAAGGAAGCAGAGTACTTACCTTGAAGCCCCAGGTTCACGAGAGCGTGCAGCAATGATTAAGAATGCAAGGTTGCAGTGGAGTGGAGTGGTTGAATAGCTTGTCCTATCTTGCCAAAGTGTTGGGTTCGAGCCAACTACATGCGCTCACCAAACTCTTTTTTCTGCTTCTTGCCTGCCCTTCCTTTTTTTTCTCGAAGGCGTCCATTCCTCCTTTCCTTTCTGCGCTCCCTTATTTATTTCCCTTCCCATTTTTTGTAAAGGAAAATTTTCAGGCGCCCATTCCTCCTTTTCTTTCTGCACTTCTAACCTTATTTATTCCCTTCCTTTTTGTCCAATTTCAGGCGCCCATGATTTTATTTTACTGTGA